TTTGCCGCGGGGGTCGAAGAAAACCACTCTTGCGAGTACGTATAATGATCGAGCGATAAATTTCATTCGCCAATTCTCAGCTAGTAACCATAAAAAGCCAAATGAGAGAGCTAGCTTGAAAAAGCTCTTCCATTTTAATAGAAAACTCGAGAACGTATAAATGTGTGTACACGTATGTATGTGTGCGAGGGCCTACAGGGCTAGTACCGAAAAAAAGAAGGGCTTATTTATGTATATAACTGTATCTGCATCGTGTGCGGCCAGTTAAAGTAACCTCGCCGAGTTTCGAGAGAAAGAGACAGAGCAAGAGAGAGCAAGAGAAAGAGCAAGAGAGCCAGAGAGCGAGAGACGGATGGAGGCACGATGCCGCACTGCGGCGTACTTACTCCCAGGTGAATCTTACTCATCGTCTCTATATACGTATATACCGAACACACACATATATACACACTTACATATCGTACACACATATGTACAGTGCCACAGAGAGCGAGAGTAGCTTTAGGATGTATGTGCGCGTATCTGACGTATCCATCTGTGTGTGAATCCAGCAGCGAAATGCTAGGAAAGATTTACGAGGAATGATGAGTTTACTATTACCCAGATCTCCCCTTTTTTTTTATTCCACGGGCTGTATGAGGGTAGGCAAAAAAAGAGAAGAAATATTATCTCGATGATCGCGTTGGTGGATGTCGTCGTGGAGCATCGGATTTGGTCACCTGTTGAAATACATGTCACCACTAGTAGACTTTCTTATTCTTTTTTTTATCTCCTGGCTTGGGCCGGATCTCTTGTACTTGCGCAAGCTGTGGGCATGCGCTTGGTAAGATGCCAGAGGATCTAGCATGCACGAGAATTATAAAAATGAAACGCATTGTTGACTTCGTCCAGTTTTTGTATACATGTGTAGGTATTATCAGATGTGTATCGATACACAATACACGATAGCTGTGCATAAAAGTACACACGTGTGTCGCGGAAAATATAAGTCGACCATGTGCTCGTGCGAGCGTGAATATTTTTCACTCGACCAGCTTTTAATCATCGGCCCCCGAGGCAGCCGCCGGGTTGGCCATTTCTTTTCATTGTTCTCTCGGACGAAAAATCTCGGGATTAAAAGTAAAAATTAATCGCAAAGCGCATCCACAAAACTATCTTTTTTGCGTGTGTGATTTAAAATAAAACAAGTACATCGGTGGGCTATAAATTAACACTTGGATCGTGCGCGCGCGAGGCTATTACCATGGCGTACGATAGTTATATTCACTTAGCCCTTAACTAAGCTTTTCTGGTCGGATCCTGGTGAGCTCCTGAGCAGCGCAGCACCCAGAGCCCAGCACATATAATACATCTCTACAAGCTCGAGCTCTCGAGTGGTCATCAGTCTTAGTTCATTACTTGGCGCTGCACGCTCGCGCGCCCCTGTATCCCCTCAGCTTATAAAGCTTCTTACACGCAGAGCCTCAGCTGCTGCTCCTGCTGCTGCTGCACCGCTGCAACGTCGACGCCGAGCGTTACAGTAAATATTTTAACGACTCTTTGCCACTCTCTCTCCGCGCGAATCCTATTTTAACCTGCCCCCCATTATCAAAGTCGACGTGTAGTCTAATTTATGATTAATGAATCTTTGCTAAACGAGTAAAAATGCGCTCGCGTCGCACTGCGCTGCTCCTGATTCCTCAAAGTAAATTATCTTTCCATCGAGTTATATATAATAATATCGAGCTTATACGCACGCACGCGGTCCGCATTGCGCTCGTGTAATAGTCTGTGCGTGTATGCTTTTATCGTATCATCATCTCTCCGTTATAAAGCACATCCATGCGCTCGCTCCTGCGCATATATAGGTACAACACAGCGAGAGCGAGCTATATATCGAAAAACGTTTTATCGACGAAAGCTTCGGTGCTGCATTGCTAGTACTGCTGCTACTGCTACACTGCCGTGTGTTGCTCTATTTCATGCTCGCGCAAAGATCCATAAAGCGTATGTACGCGCGCGCACTGCACGTGTGTCTACGCGTATTATGCGCTGAAAATAAGAGCAAAGACACTTTTTTTTTTTATCATTTTACCTTATAAAGTACCGAGAGAGAGAGAGAGAGAGAGAGAGAGAGAGAGAGAGAGAGAGAGAAAAAAGGAGCAGTGACAGCAGCGAGCATATCGGGAGGAAAAACGATGACGTGGAAAATGCAGGCACTTAGCGTAAGTAGGCGCGTATTATATCGACGATTCTTCCTCGGCCTTTTTTCTTTCCTTTTTTCAGTCTTTCTCGAGGAATTTTTCCATTCTGCCTGCCGTTCGCCTCCCCCCATCTGCGAACTCTCGAGCGAGCTAGCTAATTTCATTATTGTACGCACTCGACTGCAAATCATTTTTCGGGGGGCTATTTTCCAAGAATATATAAGAACATCTATTCTTTTTTTTGTCGACTGACGGCAGCCGTACGACTACATTTGTGCGGCGAATATAGTTATTATATCGAGGTCGATAATCCGAGAGCTGCCGAATTTTGAAACTAGAGTCCCGCCCGCCGCCTCTGCGCTTGATACGCTGCGCGCTTATGCATTATGTATAGGAAAAATGTAAAAATAAAACGCAGATTTGAAATATTTTTGCTCTAAGATTGAAAAATTCTTAATGAGAACACACACGAGTCTTTTTCATTTACTTTTTATCCTCTCTTTTTTTCTTGTGTTATAATCTCGATGCCTGCAGCAAAGAGAGAAAAACGTGTGTTACAAGTTAGTCGATAATGAGGAGCGTTAAAACAATAGCTGCTGCGATGGAAGAAAGAGTTTTCCTAAAATATTTTTATTTTTCTCGGGCATCGACTGATGAGTATAGTTTTCGCCTCTATCTCGAATTGAAGATATATAAAATTGTATATATGACGCATCGATATTAAGAATTTACGCGCGTGAAAAAAACACTCTTGACAAAAAAAAAAACAAACGCGGACTTTTCGTTTCGCGCTAACTACGTGATCGCGAAAGAGGGTCAGCTCGACAGCGGCACCGCCACCGTCACACAACGCGAGAGAGAAAGAGAGAGAGAGAGAGAGAGAGAGCAAGAAGCAGCTTTATAATAGCTGAAGGAAGCTTGCGACTGCTGTCTCCTCGTCTTTTTTAAAAGAAATTTTTCTTTTCTTCTACTTGGCTCGGTGTGTTTTTTTTCTTCTCCGAGTACCACCGAGCTGCAAAGCTAGGTGTGCCGCGCAAGACTTTTCTGATTAGACCTACTGCCGTAACTACCGATTCGTTAGCTACATGATTGAGGGATGCATGTAGCGCTCCATCCAGCAAGATCGGCAGAACTACTGTGATACGCTCCTCCCGTATACATGCTATCAGTACGTTAAATTTGAATCTCAAAGCAATTCACTATTACAGTCAGAATAAGAAAAAAACCCAAGAAAGGTAAGAACCAAGAGTGGTCTCTGAACTTTGATTCATAAAATGATATTTGCCACTTGCAGATTTAAAGATGAAGATACTTGCCATCTAGTGGTAAGGATTGAACTTTAATAACGAGCAACGCCATAATTTTTAGGAAAATTGAATTTTATTTTAAGGAAAATTGAATTATAAATTTCTAGCAATTTTGAAATTTCATGTAAAATTAATTTTCATTTTCCATATTTAAATACAATGAAATTTCCGTACAGTAACATTATTATAAACAAATAATTTTTAAAACAACCTATAAGTTAAGTTAAGATTATACACACATTAAGTAATATAGCAGTAAATAATATAGCAGATGATTCGGATGATGAATATATCTCACACCAAAAGCGTCGAAATATTTCAAGACCTGATTTTGAATGCGTACGTTTTAACTTCTAAGAAATTATTAACGCTTGCATTAAAGAAGCATTGAAACGATCAAAACTGAAAAAAAACGAAAAAATCATATAAATAATTTGCTTAATACACAAAATGATTCATTTCAGCTAGCGTGTACTTGTAATAGTTCCACAAACGAGCATAAGACAAGAATTTGAGATTCCATATGTATACACGCTTACACATTTTTCTCTTTCGATATCGAATGGCCCGCCAATTTTCTTTTTCTTTCATCCTTTTTTGCGACACTTAAACTCCATGGAGTCAAGCTCCGATCTCGCTGGAGAGAGTGCGAGAAGATATCGCGTTTACTTGAGTGGCAAGCTTTCAACGTCATCTCCTCTTTTTAACTCCCTCTTCCCCTCGCGCGCTATATCTCTCCAGTGGCAGCAGCGGCGGCGACGACAACGGTGGGCGCGAGCGGTCCATTGTGCATCCCACGCTTATATTATATACGTACGCCAAATAGAAAAAAATATTACTTCACGCCGCGACTGTTTTTGCTTTTCATTTTTTCGAACTGGCATATGTATGTAGTACCACGACGCTGTGTATGCTTTATTATTTTCTTCTCCCATTTTTTTCTTTCTCTCTTTTTTTCTTTCTCTTTTGTACACGTATACGCGAGACACTTTACGTGTCGTTCACCCGTGAGAGCAACATTTTTATTAATTATGCGCGAAACGACACTGTATCCTACGATGCCGACGGTATTGTCGAAGCTCTGTGAGCTTGTGCATGTAGGTGTATAATACGCGAGTGAGTCCTAGTCGCTGCTTCGTTGATTCTGAATTCGTAAATTGATCTTTTAATGCGTTGCGATGGCTAATTTTTTGTAATGCTATAAAGACACCGATATTCATTTACCTTCAAAACATCCACGATTCCTTTTACGAACAATTTATGTACGTAGGCCGTATTTGCTCGAAAAGACGTCATCGGTCCTTTATTGGTAAATACAACTTCTACACCCTCGAGTAAACTATATTTGAACAAGATCTCTTCGAGCGGAAAAATACCGGAAAAATACTAATCAGTGTTGTATTATACTAGCCCGGCTGAACTCATTAAATTTTAGCGTTTGTCAACGTTGACGGCGACCTTGCGAGAGAAACTTTTGTAGTGCTCACTCGTCACTCTATCTCTCTCTCTCTCTCTCTCTCTCTCTCTCTCTCTCTCTCTCTCTCTTTCTCCTCGCTTGCGATTCTCTTTTCATACAATATATGGAAATGTACAGCACATATATTCGAATAAAAGATGATTTTCGCTGCAGTGCTCAGTTTTAATCGCGTTGCGCGTGTCCGCAGGAGTTCTCTCGCACTCATGCGTCGAAAAACTTACGACATTTGAATGTCATGTGAGATGTTGAATCTAATTACTTTTTTTTACTTTTTTCAAAGTTTCAATTATTTGCACGGCAATAATTGATATTATAGTAGAGAACGATTAGTTAAATGCGACTAAATTTCATTATTTTACTAATACAACCATTTTGATTATAATATAAGTATGCGTGCATAAAGAATCACCAATAATACTTTTAACTAATTTTGATTAATAATTTGATCCGCATGTATATAAAAAATAATTTCTTAATCAGAATTGAAAATTGCACATATATGCATAAAGCTCACTAATTTTTCTAAATTTTTTTTATTTTCTTTATATAATTGTATGATTTGTATGACTATAATTGTATGCCGTTTCGTAACTAAAGAAAGCCTATTGTACGACAAAAATGTTTACTTTTCTTATTTTTTTTTTAACGACCCCTTATCAGTAATCAAGTTAAACAACTTGTAACAATAAATTGGTCTAATAATTTCCATGGCTTTTTACTTATATAGCTCCATACTAAATTCCATAATATACACGCGTACCCGACGTCGATAAAAACAAAGTCTATATTTAAACATGAGTGTGGTTCTTTATCGACTGTTGACATTTAAACGTTCGCAAAAATTTACACAGATGCACAAATTAGTGACTAAAGAATTCTAAAGCTGATGTATTTTTTTCTAGTCAAAGATTCACAATCCGCCGCTAGAGATTTAAAAAACACTGTGCTTGCTGACGGCATGAAGTTCATCGAAATTACAGGCGTTACAGGGCCGACGTTCATTCACTTCTTTTCCTCTTTTCCTCTTCGACGTCCTATTTGTATCTCTCTTTGCAATGAAGTGGCAATCAACGATATTGTAAGCTTCTTTCACGTCGTAAATCAAATCCTGTCGAGGGCAAAATTTTTTTCGAAAGATTAGTCGCGTGCTCACGCTTAAAGAGCTAAAAAACAACGTACCAATAAATTACTCTTCGACCCCTTTGAGCCGCCTCGAGACTTCGTGGCCTTCACGGAGGCGAAGTACAAAGCTTTGAGCGCTTGAAGAAAATATTGCAGAGCTTGATCCTTTGTGCGATAAATCGAAAAAAGGAGGTAATTTTTTTTCGAGTTGCTTATCGGACATATCATACAACCTATTTTTGCCTATAAAAATTTTATTACGAATCATGCTTTTTTGTACCATTGAGATTGAGGAAAATCACAAACCTTAGGACTGTAAGCGATATTGGAGTGTAGAAATACTTCTTCGAAAAATTGCATTGGACACTCGGATAAGCCTTCAATGAACAATTTACCACTGCAGATAACAAAACGATCGACTGTTTCTGGCTTAAACTTTTTCTTCGTCACCACTGGAACATTATCAATGCATTCAAGCTCAATCTGCGTATCACTGGAGATTAAAAATTTTTTGTAAAGTAATACAGTTATTGTCTAGCTTACAGGATAATCACCTCGTAATATACGGCGTATTCAAACAGAATCTCCTCCAATCGTCAAAAGATATCAAATCCGTGTAATAAGGATCAAAATCAACGACCCAATAATTCAGATCCTGAAAAAGGAAAATTACACTTTCATTATTATTTTTGTTTCAGAAATTCCACCACGAAAGTTTTCTCTCGTCTATGGATCAAGATAAATCAAACGCAACGGGTTAAAAATCGCCCAAGCAAACTAATCCCGAAACTCGGGCGTCAGATAAGATTAGTATATAGGAAAGCAGCAATCAGCATTACCTCATTATCTAGCCAGTCATCTGGATCGAAAACTACGAGATCCACGCCGAAGAAGCCAATGAACTGCTCGAGGACCAATACCTGACCGAGTTTGTCGACGAGTCGCTCGATCGTCGGCTCGGATAAGCTCGTCTGCGGTATGATGTATCCGACGTCGCTCTTGCAGTTCTTCGCCAGGGGATGATCGCTATCCCGGTTCAATCTCATCTGCACGACTTCGGCGCTGGTGCGCAACCTCGCCTTGGCCGTGTCGTGCTCTATGAAGCCGCCCAAGCTAATCGTACGATAATTGCTCGATGGGCTAAGCGTAACGACACCACCTGTGTGCGAGAGACGAGGGACGAGATCAGCTCGATAATCCCACGCGTATTATATCGTTTGCTTTCGATTCCACAGGAGGATTGCACAGTAAAGTCGAACGCGAAAAAACTCAAAAGTCGATCACTGAAGCTCCTCCCTATCGAGCAGTATGTCTATGATAGAGCGCCGATCGTCGCTACTGCCGTCCGCGTCCTCTTCCTGAGCTATCGCGATTTTTACGGCCACCGCTTCGACGGTAATCAACGTTACGAACGCCACGAAGGCGGCTAAATTGCTGCGATCACTGGCCACCGTGGCTGCATTTTGAGTGTTCGACAGCAGCAGCGAAGTTGTTATGAATTTAAGAACTGTCAACATTTCGCTACAGATATTTCACGTTGTTGTTGTTGTCGTTGCGTGGGCCGATCGACTCTTTTGACAGGCACCTAGCATGCGTGGAACCACATGTAAAACTCCGAGCGCGGCCGCGTTTCAAATATCACACAAGATCCGATATCGCGCGTTTCGCCGATGAAATGACGATGATTTTAGTCGTCGACTTGGAACGATGCGCGCACCGCCGTATGATGCTAATGTCTCTCTCTCTCTAGCTATGCACTCTTATTCAAATGCATATATCGAAGTCGCGGACAATACAAAGCGAAAGAGAAGAAAAGAAGAAGTAGAGTATATTGAAGTTTGTTGCAACAAAAGCCAAAATCGACGTGTGTGCGTTTGTTTCATTTTGTATATTTTTTTTGGCATCATCGACGCCTGACCGATGTTTAACAATAAATATTCTACAAGAAAAAAATTGTTGAACGAAAAAAATTTTCGGCGAATCACGATCTCTCTCGGAATGTTTTACATTGTTTTCGTCGGTGCACACATACGTGTATGTGTATACGTGCACGTATTTTTTTTTTTGGTCGACGCTTCCGCAAACCAAAATAAAAATGAAAGAAAACGAACGGGGGAACGACCGCAGCTTCGCGATCTACATGCTTTTACTCGGCCCATAGTCATGCAAATTGAAATTTGCATTCGTGAGTTCATGTCCGTACATATACACTGATATGTATATTTATAATTATTATTTTTTATTTCTTTCAGCGAACAATTTTTGTTTGTTGCAGAAAAATTGCAAGATTTATCATGCCTGCACACACGGTTCGAAAAAGATCAACAAACGAGAAGTTGATTAAAGATCCTCGTGTTTATAAATCATCGCTGAAAAATGATTCATTCAAATCCCAGATCTCGTGTATACATATGCGCGTTTAATAAACCGGTTTCGGTTTTAAATACCAAAAACTCACCGTATCGTTCCAAATCGTTAAAATACTCGAATGCGCTCTTGTAGGCCAGCTTGTTGACTCTCAGCTTTTTCGGCAATAAATCGGCCAGATAATACGGCAGAACTTCCTTGCGGAATGAAAAATCGAATTCCGCATTACAATGTCGGTTACGGATCGCAAATGGAAATACATGAGCCGAGGCAGAGCAGCGCACGACGACGATGATGATAATAAGTGAAAATGTGGGACACGAACCTCCGCGACGTCGTATATCGAGCCGCTGAGCACGACCGATGCACTCTGATTGCCGCAAAATCCGCTATTGACCCTTAAAATCCATCTGGTCTCTCGAGCTTTGCCTTTGGCGAGGCCGCGGCTGCTGCTTCTGCGCCTCTTCAGTCCGCTAATCATCGCCGACATTCTTTCGCACAACTGCATACAGAAACACACGAACGAAAAAAAGTCGAGTGTTGATAAATGCACGTGCTATGTATTTATATAAGATATGCGATGATGACAAGAGAAAAACGGCGCAGCGAAGCGCCTGCCTCTTCATCTTCATGCCTTACTTCGACGAATGTCTCGACGATCTCGAACGGGGGGTGTGGGATATTTGCCTCGGCCAGCAGAGACATCACGTAGCTCTTGTTTGACAAACGCTCTTGGCTCTTTAAACAGGGACCTCGAGAGGAGCATGAGGAATAAAAGCAATGCATGAATGAACTTGAAAGATTTTTGGCTGACAAATTGCGCCGCCCGGTCCCCGTGAACTACACGAGCGATCGAAGCGCATACGAAATGAGATTTCTTATTTAATAAGATAAAATACAAGCGAGAGACGAAGAGAGAAAGATTATAACAAACATGTGTTTTTTTTATGTATGTACCCATTACTGGAGTCATCAATTCGCAAGCGATGAAGAAGTCGGTTTTGGTAAGAACGCCGGGAATTATGAACCCGTGACGGCCGGCCGTAAGACGTCGAACTCGACGATAAACGTCTGGCGTATAAAACAGAGTTTCACATCCGCTACGATACTTTTCGTCGACTTCCTCGCAGAAACTGTAACCATGTCATTATATATTAAAAATACATTTTTTTCTCTTTTCTTTTTTTCGTAACGCGTAAATTGCGTCGCATCGTAGTACACACATAGTACATACCATTCGTTGTCGTCGTTGGTTATTATCCACAATCTCGATAAATCGCAGTCGGGCCTGGCGAGCTTGATGAAATTCTGCAAAACGCAACTCGTCTCGCTGTTCGATTTTCCCGGGTGGACGTACACCACTTGCGCCTGCTCGTTTACCAACCAGCCAAGACGTCCGATCTATATGAAGTATCGTGCGCAAGTATTTGACCTTATTTTCTTTGCTTTATTTTTCGTCGTTACTCTGCGACTTTGGCGCAAGAATTTAGACGACGCTAGCTCTTACCTGAATATTTTGCAGCGACTTGAACTGTCCTCGTATTTTGCATCTCAAGGGGCAGGGATAGCCCAAGGACGGCAGATGGATTATAAGGTGTGGATTGCTCGTTATTCTTTGCCATCTTTTGGCGATGCAGCTCGACCTGCCATTTACAATTTAATTATATTTCTAATATTACTTCCAAAATAGTATACGATTATTATTACCATTTCATCATTTCTCGACATATCTTCGAAAAGCCGAAAAACTCGATGAAGTTGTAACGGTTCAAGTGACGAAAGCTGTACTTTCTCTGACAGCTTTCGCCGTCGCAGACAATCTCGACGTTCTGCGCGTGGCTCATTCGTTTCGATATCTCGATCAGTTTTAAATCACGATGTTGCAGTACGCGATTTACCAGATCGAGAAACGCTCCCCACTTGCCAATCTCGTCAGACGCGCCCATGTAATCGAGCTTGAACAGTTCGCAGGGCTGCTTACTCCGATCCTCATCGTCCTCGAGATCGTCCTTCGAGCCGACCCAGAAATGGCGAAACTTGATGGGATTCGGTCGGCATTTGCAAGCACCCCTGAGTTCGTGTCGTTCCTTGCAAGTAAGATCTTCGGTGCGGGCGGACGAGCAGTCGCACGTATCCGGACCAGCGCCGCTCGACGTTACGTCGCTGGCGGAGCTGTGAAAATTCTATCATTCATTATTTCCGCGATGATCGAAAAAAATTACGGAGAAAAGAAATGTCGTACTTACCAGTAACACGTGGGATCTTCGGGATCTGAGAAAACGACTATTTCGTACTTGGTGCCCTCGCTGGTGATGGTACGATCATCCTCCGGGCAATCTTTGACGTTCTCGGCCAATTTCTCGTTCAACGCCTGCAGAATAACTTTGGCGAAGGCTCTCAGCTCGATTTCCGTGTAAGGGCATTGCTTCTTGAACATGCGACAGAACAAGCTCCATTCCGAGGCCTCGCTCGAATCCTCCCGTCGTCCGCATTTGGGCCTGTCCTTGACTCTCGCGTAATCCAAAGTACAATCGTCGTCGTCGAGGATGAATCGCTTCGCCGAGCTCTCGATGCATCTGTAAAGCTTGTTCGACTCCGGGGTCACGCACTGGAGAGCGCGAAAGATCTGAAAGCGGGCGGCGTCGCTGATCTTTTTCGTGCAGCGCAGGTTAACCTCGCTCACGGAAGTGCAGCACGGCATTTTCTGCTGCTAGATGATTACGTCATGCACCAACGAAATAGGGAAAAAGTGCGGCTCCGTACTGAACAATTTTGAACGATATATGCGTGCGCTTTTTGTTATGAAACAAAGTCGATGTTTACGAGCGCGCGCACGGCAAAATTTTCAGTCTCCGTGACTGCGGGATTCAATTTAAAAGCTTGTCACGTGTGAAAATGAATTATGTAAAGTGGTCGTATTTATCAATATATACAGCGTGCGCGCTTGAGTTCGTTTAGAATCGTGTCGAGCTATTTTTTGAATTTCGATTCAAAAAAGAACTTTTTTGCTATTCGTGGCCTATATTTTCTCACGGCTTCGTTAGTAATTTAAATTTCAATGTCAATATTTGCTCTGCAACGAATCGTGGAGTTCATTGCAAATATTGTTAATTTTTCGATTTAATTGCCTAATTTGAGTATTATCGTTGTCTACGGGTGGAACCAAAAATAAACATCGACTGAGTCAATAAAAATTTATTTTCTCACTTTTAATAACCACGATGTTTTTTTAAAAATACAAGTGCAATTCCTTGAAAAAGCTTGTCTTTTTGAACGCTCTAAAGCAAATCGAAGCGAGATTTCTATTGCAGAAATTGTTTACTGGCGGATTTTCAAATCAGTTTGACCTTTACCCCTCCAATAGTAAAGTCAGTGAAAATATGTTTTGATGCGTTAATAGAGAGGTATATATATAGTTGGTGGATTTTCAGAAGCAAGCTCGAAACTTAGGTAACAGCGTCGATCGTAATCTAGTTTCACGATCCAATTCAAGTCAATTATGGATTTAACGAGTGCGGTCGTATCAAGTGCATAAAATTTATACGTCAGACAATAAAACTTTTGATGCGTACGTATACGCAAAAATATGCATTGTTGTGCCGTGAATGTACTTTAAAAGGAGAGATCCGATATCGCGGAAAACAATAGCTTATAAGAATCTATATTCGTGGCTTAATTGGAGCAAAAGATGTGCGGTGTTGGGCAATTTAAAAGGCTCAATTGCTGTTATACGAATATTAAACGTTTCATTTTTTTCTCTTTAATTCTACGTACAAAACTTATGAATATATAATCTAATCGATTACTTAATAATACTATGATATATGTATAGCTATAGCAAGCTTATTTTTTACAGAGACAACAATGAAGACGTTATTAGTATAGGAAATTTTTTTTTTAAATTACTCAGACTCGTTGCAGATAGTTCAATTCGATATACAAATAGAACTGCAACTAATTTCAATTAGATAATTAGCGTTAGATACACATAGGAACAGATAAAGTACAGAATTCGCGTGATAAATATAATATATAAAAAATACAGTCGCACGTTTCGTTCGTCATGTGTACTGTATAAAAACGAAAAAAAAGCTGTTCTTCAAACTTTTATATCGAGTTTTCGGGCACGACTTCAGCTGCTACTACTGTCCAATCAATCGTTTTCTTGGATGATTGTCAGAGTGGAGGCCCGCTGCCGTCGCTACCGCAGCCATCCTCCGGTTTCGCTCTCCAGTCAAACTGTTGCTCGTTATCACATCGTTGTCGAGCGAATTGTCGAAATATTTTCTCCGATAAATGCCGTGTGGATCGTACACACTGGCCAAAAGCTCGAATCTCTCAGGCTCGAATTCTCTGCAAAATAACGTACACATATAGACACACGCATCAGAAAAAGACAGGCAGATATGTATAGTAGAGTACGATAGGCAAGAGTGCGTGCATGTTTGTGTGTGTATGCGCGTGCGGCGCTGCCTTGTTGTAAAACAATGTCTATTGTAGTTTAAATATAAGGTACTAGCCGCAAGCGTACGTGACATACATATTAAAAAAACGAAGCGCTACACATGCACACACATACACATACACATTGTGTACATGGCGCACAGCAGCCTTCACCTTTGCGTGATCTTATCACAAAAAATGCCCATTTGTTTTTGTTTTATGCACATATATATACTACGTACGATCGCGCGCGGCTACGCCATATATCGTGTGTGCGCGAATACTCGATGCGAATGTACGTATGTGTATGTGTGTGTGTGTGTGTGTGTGTGTGTCAGTATGCTCGGCACGAAAGTGCATCAAAGTAGCAGATATATCTGCTACTATATCCCACTTCTCTTTTTCGCTCGACGCCGAGCGGTGAGGCGCGAGCGGGGGCGTACATATATTCGAGCTATATACCGCTTCGTGCGCGCCTGCGAGGATGTGCCACAACTTTATGTACAGCTATATAGCTATATATGCATGTATAGCTGTTGTTTGTCGCGGCTTCTCGCATGTAAGTATGTGTACGTGTGTATATATTTTACAGCTGATTCGCGGTTAGCTTCGAGTATTACCGGTTAACCGTTCGAGTTTGCAAAATCGATGTAATAACAGAGTTGTGCGCGCGCTCGGGCCACCACCGCCTCAGCGACACGAATGTGCATCGTAATATGAATGATGATAAAATGAAAAATGTCCTGTCTCCCTCTTACCTAAAATATTTGATGACTTTGACGGCTGCCTCGATTTGTTTCTTCGTGCATTTGGCGCAACCGGTTGCCAAGGCTTCGGGAAGAACACCTGTAAGAAAAATTCAACATGCCTGTAATATCGACAACAACAACGACGCTCAGAAAAGATTTTAGACAAAATTTAGCATGCGTTGAAAAAAAAAACAAAATTACACACTATTGTTGGACACACGAGCGCGCGCAACAATAACAACGGCGCGCGCGATGTCTAAAAAAATATAGACGCGTGCGCGTCGCAAAGAATTACAGCTTGTCATAATCAAACCTTTCGCGAACATCATAACACATACACATGCTAAAGTACAACCCACTTTAGTCTTTTATTTATTTATTTCTCTTTCTCTCTCTCTCTCTTTATTTTTTTCGTAATTTTTTTTTTCTCAACACCGGGATAAACGACAATTACAAGAGATGAGCGTGAAGCCATACATACACATACACTTATCCTGTATGTTCGTTGCATAATTATCCCGAGAGAGATTTTCATTGTTTTTTTTTTATGTGTGCTCGAGATATGTACAAATTCGACCTTGCCAGTATTTCCGCGATGTGCGTTTACACATTAACTGCTGCACTCCGAGCGCACCAGCATGTAAGAAGATTCATATATCATCGGCGCGCGTATCGATCGGCAACCGAGGAGAATCTCTCTCACTCGTAAACGAGACGGGTACTCGCGAGCGCTCGAGAATCGTTAAAGGCAATTGTGGCGTATACGTATACGAAAGTTATAATTTATCGTATATCTGCTACACATACTCGTGTGTGCGAGTGCGCGAACAGACTGCAGTGGGTTATAAGTACGAATGCTCGTATATGCACACTCATACACTCACGACAGCAGAGAGTGCTTATTTTGATGAATTACACCCGTTTCGAGTACCGCCGCCGCTGCATAACTCACGCGTTAAATGAAAAAGTTCTTATAGCGCTGAATAGAAGAAGCTCGTATTAGCGCGCGAGTTACGTGCGCGACGCGGGAAAAAAAAGGAGCCATATAGCAATTAAAAATTCCGCGTCGCGGCGAAGAATGAGATCATGAGAATTAGGCGCGCGAGCACGTTATGTCGGTGTGTTACGTTTGTGCTCGGGCGCCGTCGCGTGCACGTTGACTGCGCACTGTGCACTGTGCACTGCACACACAAAGAAGATTAAGATACACTGACACAGAGACACGCGACGCAGACATCTCCGGGTAAAAATTTACCAATTCGCGAATCTATAGCATGCATAAGGAAGGATGGTCAGAGGCGGGTGTACACCGCACATTTTATGTGTATCGTAGCCTTCGAATTCAAATGATTTTTATTGTACCGCGGCTACGTCGAGTGACGGGCAAATTGGTTATAATTCACGTGTTGTATTTCTTTGATGCCTTTTATGTCATTCGAGTCACACCTCGGTTTAACGCACGCACCATCGCAACGCGTGTATTGTTATAATGTAGTAGGGCATCGGTCATTGTGTCTCGTAGATCGCAAGAGTACCTAAGCCGTGTGTAGCTTTTGAATGAACCGAAATCAAAATGCTATAAAAGTCGCGCCTAGTAGGTGAAAATTTCCAAAAGTGCACAGGAAACCTTTCACTGCATTACAAATAAGATACATTTCTCACATACACATGCACACACATAAACAAAAGTATCTCTTGGCACACTAACGTTTTAGCTCTCTTCCATCCGGGGGGCAGGGTCCCTTGCTCATCAGACAATTGAAATAGTAAAGCAGCAGCCTCTTATTCCTAAGAATCTCGTCGATGTTGATCTTATCGAACTTGGTTACGTAGACCTCCTTGTTCGGAGTCGGAGTGTAAGCAGGAAATCCGCCACCGCCACCATCTCCTTTGATACCGGTCGTCGCGTCGATCGGAATCGTATTTGCCGTACTGCCGAATTTGTTGGGCTTGTTTAAGCTGAACAAGCTGCTGTGTATGTGATCCTTGACGACGTTGATGTGATCCTTGATGCCTGCCCCGAAGCGATCGATGCTGTTGGGATTCTGTTGCGGGGGGTAGTAGCCGGGCTGCACGGGCCGCGGCGGCGAGGCCTTCTCGTGCTTGCTGCCGTCCAGGCAGCCGCCGAGGAGCCAGCAGAGAGCCAGCCAGCACATCCGTTTCTCCATGGCGCGAGCACTGGAATGATGAGTACGTCGCGATCGCGATGGGTTGGCGGCGGCGGCGGCGGCGGCTGCCACTTGGAAAAGTTCTCTCGTACTATATACTACACACACGTGTGCGTGTGTGCCGATTCAGGCTCGTTCGTTGCGCGGGGAGACGAGACTACTCGTTATGACGCCGCGAGCATGTATAGACACGCCGATCCTTCACCAGACGTAGCACACACACACACACACACGTGTGTAAGACAGTGCGGGCTCATCCTTGCGCACACGTACTCGTTGTTCTTGTTGTTGTTCTTGGGTGTTGTTTTTTCATTTGGCAGGTGTACTTCTGTCGCTAATTTTCTGAATAATGGATGCACGGAAGAAGATCGTGCAAAGAAATTGATACATAATCGATACCTTCGCGGATAACTAGTTTCTTTTCACGTAGCCATATAACGTAGCCGAAAGGTATCATTATTGTAAAAACGATTTCGTAGGGATTCCATAGCCGATCGAACAGCATGGAAGTTCTTGGCATATTGAAATTTACTTTTGATTTTTAAATGGTAAAGTGAAATTAGAGAAATGTATTGTCTAATGCTTAGAGATATTTTTTTAAGAATCTGTATTATAGCCAAAAACAAAAATAAAGGTTTAAAGCGGATGTATACCGATTCCGAGTCAAAACAATATCATTTCAATGACCAGAAAGCCGTTCACCCGTAAACGTGACTTTATTCTAATGAGTTTTTTGAACTGATTAAGTGTCAAAAACTTCGAGACACGCGCCTGCATCTTCGAGCTGTCATCAATCACTTACGCGCTCCATTTAAAAGTGTACAATTGTCACTCGCGTGAAAAAGAAGAGAGTTCAAGGCCAGAACAAAAGTTTTCAGCCTTCCTCGTAATAATCTTTGTATTTTTCATAACGGTATACACGTATCATTCGTGCTCGTGTGTGTATATGAGTGTCTACACGAACGAACGCATAAATCTCCACGGGACCATGAACTTGACTGTCCTCAATGACAATCTTCGCCGCGAGATTTGCTTAGTCGCGTCTTCGTTGCATTTGCCACAACCGTATATACTGCAACCGTAAATTGCTTCAAGTAGGTTGAAAATTCACGATCGCCGTTAGACTTGATCTGGGTTAAAAGTACACTTTGATATTGCAGGCTTATGTGTTTATTACACCGATTTTTCTTCGTAAAAATTAAAAAAAAACCATCTCTTTCGCGTGAGAATATTTAGATGCAAATATGGTAATGGCAGAGTCTCTAGAATGTACCGTAATTTCGTGTCATCGTCAATGCAAAATTTCAAGTTATTCAACCTAATAATAATTTAAATTTCCGCACTCAAATTATGATTTTGTACAATATAAATGATAATTTCACGCCATTTGATACTTTTATTGAATCATATTTCTCGAGTAAACGCCGCAACATTTATCACACGAATAATTATTTTCTATTGTTGGAAATATTCTCACCTCCGTTCGATAAATAAAGTAATAAACGAAGCGGGCAATAACTGTAAAATGCACGTCCTGTCGTATCTCGCATATTTTACTCCCGTCTCAAAGACGCGCGTACAGTGCTAAAACAAGTTTTCTTGGCGACTCGTCTCCTTTTGAAGTCACGACAATGTGCGTAAAACAGATATATCAGTCAGGTGTACATCGATGGCTAATTGTCCATTGCTTTGTATGGAGAGATGTTATCGCTGTTTTTGCAGATAATTTAACATGAATTAACCTTTAGCGATTTAAACACGTCTTCGGGCTTTAAGGTTTTATTCCATATATCGATGATGTCTCGAACAAGGTACTCGACGGAATATTTTAAAATCTACACGATGCGCGATGCCCATGAAATTGTACAGTACACGACCGGTTCTTTTATGTACTCTAAATGCACGAAAGGGTGTCAACCTTTGCATTAGAAATTAGCAACTATCCAGTCCACGAAACGTCAAACCGCTAAATCAACGGAGACGGCTAAAAGTATACGTGTACGAAGACGAGCATCGCGCGTGAAAGTGTAAATAAATAGAGAAAAAACGACACGTTTTAATACTGTTGGCACTCGTGAGTTTGCATGTAGCATTCCAATTAGCTAAATATATCTTTAAAACGTGCAACTGAGAAATTAATACCATATAGCACGAGGATGTGCGCGCGTGCACCAAAAGAGGTCAGGTTCGTGGTCGACTTTCTGCGCCTGGTAGATCGTGAAACGATCTTTTTTTTTGGTGCGCTTAACGCCTGATAAATTTAAATATGACAGTGCAATGAAGATGTAAGCAAATTTTTGTCGGTATGCAGCGATCGAAAAAGCTGACCGATTTTCGATGTCGAAAATTAGTCCAATGACGCCAGTAATCATCACGGTCAGCGCTGAATAAAAAATTGTCGCTCGATATAACTTTATAACTATTTGTTAGCGCACAGTAGATTGAGTTCTTAGAAAACAATTTTTTCCGCTACTAAACGTCGGGCAAGTATCGTATTAATTTAACCACTCTTTTAAAATGCAGTAACGTGAGAAAAATGAATGATTCACTCATTTTTTTGTTATGCTATAGAACACTGCAGATGCTTGCAAATCAAATTGTTGTCAGATATGAAACATGAAAATTATCTTATACTCAGCTACAAGCTCAGAAACGTTACATTTTCGAAAGATTAATATTTTTTGTGACGACAAAAAATTGGAATAATCAAAAATCACGAAATATTAGAAAGATAATACAAGTGAATGTAAATTTTTACTATGATCCATCATAATCTTATATTTAAAGAAAATCGTCGTTCCAGAACTTTTTTGTGAAAAAAGAAACAAAATTATCAAATCTTGCAGAGATGCTTTATTCTATCAATTTTTGATAAATTTGCTCAAGAAACCCGAAAAATTTCTATTATTTTTCGATTTGTTTTGAACAAAAACTGTCGTGACGAATAACGAATCAAATTTTCGAAAACAGCTATGAGTAGAGCAATTATAACACCCGAGACAAAAGCAAACAGTGCAGGACTGAATTCGTAAATAGCCACAGGCGTTGGAAGTGAACTATGACTCTCTGGGCAACGTGGACGCCTGTGTTTCCAAACATTGGTGATTCGATTCGATACTCCTCTTTCCAAAATGTGTCTCAATCTATTTGAGGTGAAATACATTTGTAAATATTAAATAATCTAAAGTTCCATTTTAGGTTCAGCATAAATACCCATAGGTTACTAATTTTTTGAATGGAGAGTGTTTTGCTACACCGGTTGCTGCATGCACTCTTGGAAATAAATAAATTTCTTGAAGATCACATATTTCATCTGTTTGGTAAGAATCCTGTAAAACAAGTACATAAATGGATGAGACATTTTATACTCTTTCAAGTGTGTTAATTTTTTCAAAAACATTTTCGGACCGAGAAATTTGATTCTGTACATTAAAATGAAAAAATTTTCTTGATCAAAAACATTTTATTTATACTTAGTTATTAGTCAACAAAAAAGTTTCTTAGACAAAAAAGAGTTGTTAGAACTATACCTGTTTCATTAATCCTAAGTGTAAAGTTTTTTTCAACATTTAATTGATATCTAATGTGCCATCATTTTTGCTATTCATTCAATTGTTAATTTTAATTTTTTTCCATTTGAACGGTAAAACGTCAATAACAAAGGAATTTATTAATATTTTTTTAATAATATTATCGATAATGCATGTGTGTAGACATAAATCTAACTATGAAGCAATTTTTATCAACAACGGTGTTTATTTCGAAAATCACTTTGACTTATACACTCATTTTGACTTTTTCACTTGCAGATTTATAGATAAAAGTAATTGCCACCTAGTGGCGGAAGCTTAAAGTAGTTTTATTGTACATACACTAAAGTGGTTGAAAAGGACCACTAGTCTGAATTTTGTTAAACAATAAAATTATTATTTTCAGATCATTTAAAATACTTATAATAATTTTAACATACTTATACCAAAAAATCGCCAAAAATAAGCCAATTCATATATTATCATATCTATTAAAGTATTTGAAATTGTCATTTTCTGATCATTAGGGAATAATTTCCAATTTTATCAGGGAATCTTTATTGTTCAATTCAATATAAATCCCCAAAAATACGTTTTTTATTATAAGTTTGTTAACGTTTGTTTCCATAATCATGATCAATAAGGAAATTTGATTGGATTTAATTCGATCACATTAGATTAAATCGACTGATATAATTAACGATTATTTTAAAACTGATTATCAAATACTCACTTCAATCATCCTGTAACCAGATAAATCATCAATTTGAAATGCAAATCCTCCTCTCTGAACTAGTTTCATACCTTCTTCAGCGGTTAAAAAATTTGGCTTCTTGCGACGCTCATTTGCCTTTAATATTTTGTTATAAAAACCTGATATCACTGGATCTGTACTATTCTATACAATAAATATTGCATAAGGTCATAATTATTTTAATCTTATTCATATTTAAAAATATTTACAGGGTAAAAATCATAATTGTATGGAATATCTTCAACTCCTATTTCAATTGAACTCTCGAGTAAAGCTTCTGGAGTGGTAATAAATCTCGAAGGAGCAGCCAAAAGGGAACCGACGATACTAGCTGAATAAAACTGGTAAAGTACAAGTGCCCAGAGAAAAACGGACGTAAATACAATGCGACCAGAGCTTAGATTTGGCGTTGCGCCTAAACCTGTGAAAAGTCAAAACATTGAATAAAATATAAACTTTCGCTGTGGATTACTTACCTTGCTGACACACAGCAGCAGTAGTTATTAGTGCAATCTCTGTAGCTGTATTAGTCTCTGAAATACTATAAAACGTAGATTTTCGATAACGATGTTCTACTTTAATCGCAAAATAAAGAAGCAGCCAATTGATGATTATCATTATGGTCGTCAAAATCCAGACTTCACGCGTAAAAGGCTTGAAAAATTGATTAGTTAGCAGATTTTTTTTAGGATGTCTGAGAAAAAATTTCGGCCTGAAAAAAAATTATATTTTTTATATTTTTTGTACAATTGAATACGTCTCTCAATGATCTCGTTTATATCACCAAGCTACGACGTTTTGTACGGTAAAATCAACAACATCCATTCTAGCGGTCGTTATTCGCAATGGAGTTCCACTGATATCAACAATGCCTTTTGTCATATCTCCGATAATCCCATCGTAAGTACCGTTTTTCAAAAAACCCCAACTTGAGCTTCGAGTTAAACTTATTCTACAAATAAAGAGAAATATGATATATATTTTATAAATTAAATATTTTTCTTAATTAAAAATTTACGAAAAATTATAATAATCTCTCAGCAAAAGTATATATGAGTAGTGGAAACGATGCATAGTATCAAGGTGTACATTCACTGGCGTTGTGAGGTATGTTTCAAACTCCATGTTTTCTGGGAGATGATGAGCCTTGAATATTGCATTTATTAGTAGAAAAATTTTATCAAAAATTGAAATCTAATTACTCACAACTACTGAAAAATTTAAACGTATCCCTTGCAAATCTCTTCTTCGTTCATATTTGTATTGAGTAGAAAACATGTTCAAGCCTGTTTCAAAATACCACTCGCCCATGCGAGTCACGTTCAACTTACCTTCGTGCCTATAACTTGGATTATAAACATCGAAAAGTTCATATCGATTTTCACTATGAATTATCGTAACTGTCATTTCTGTATTGATAGTTAGAGGCAGTTCACCCAAAAATTTATAAGGCGTGTCACTTAAGGTTGTAATTAACCAGAAATAGGATTCGTTATACGGTAAACGATAATTGACAAACTTTAAAATTAAGATACGTCTATAAGTTTTCAAAATTCTTGATGAAAGTAAAATAAAATCTCACATTTTTCATAAAATTTTCACTGTTTTTGCAGTCGAAATCCATTAAAATACCAAGTCTGTAATAGTTTACTTTCAAAACTTTTTCGATTAACGGATTTGTAATATTTTCTTGAAAATACGAAACTTTGATATCATCATTCATGAGTTGTTTCAAAAAATTTACTCTTTCTAATAAATAAAAAAGATATTCATTTATTCATTTTTCAAATTATTAACTTAAAACATACCTTCATCATGCCAACAAGCTATTATAACTATTTGTGTTACTTGTTGATTTGAAAAATATTTACTTACAAATTCAGAATTTGGAATATAGCATATAATTTTTGGTATTAAAAAAAACAAAAAAATTAATAAAATTTGCAAGGTAACTTTCATGATCAAAATTTTTCTTATTTGTCAATGAATTAGCTTCTACCAATCTCTCATTTTTATAGATTACTACAATAGTGAGACAGTTAGTTGGTACTTTTTTCCCTCTTACGCATTCTTCGAAATTATCGTACCAATCTAGTTGCCTTCTTTTTTACTCTACTCAAGGCAGCATTTAAATTAAGTACATGTTTAACCACTTGTCGATTGTTTCTACGACGGGCTATTTTGATGAAATTATATATTTTGTGCTCTTGAGTATTCATGGCGTATTTTAACAAGCATCGTAAAATTGATTTTATGAAATTGTTTCAAGCGTCGCAAAAATCACGAAGCCAACTATTCTAATTTATTGAAGATGTAAATTTTATCTTACACTGACAAAAGAAAACAATTTCAAGGAATTATTAACTGCAGAAGTAACGACTTATATTGAAATTTTTATTTTACACTGATAGATTAGATTCAGTATCTTCAGATGTTTCTTCAAACTTCGCATTATTACAACAAAAAAACTTTTGACTGCTATTATGACGCATAGAAGTCAAAATTTCAGACAGCATCACACAAGTTGCCAAGATCAAACCACCCGCGATCATGAAGATAGCTGGACTAAACTCTTGCATTCCTACGGGTACTGGTTTTGAACGATGACTTTCAGGACATGCAGGACGGCGATGTTTCCAGATGTTTGTCAAGCGAGATGTTATTCCAGATTCCACCATTTTACGTAAGCTGAAGTTAAAAAGAATTTTTTTAGTAGATAAAACATTATGTTTGAACTTTAAGAACATATTTATGATGTCACAGGCAAGGAGAATTGAATAATATTAACAAAGTTAAATTATCCACTTTTCTCGGGACTGTGGTCAGTAATTGCGGTGGTTCAGTAGAAATTGAATACTTTTTCATACTCACCCATAGATAACCATTTTCTTGAATGGAGAACGTTTACTAGTTACTATTGTAACATATCTTGGAGACACAAGTTCGACCTCCGCTAGATCGCAAATCTCAGATTGCGTGAAAGTATCCTCGATAATTTTATAAGCAGTAGCACTATCAATAAAAAGTGCCCAGCCACCTTTTTTCACGCGCTCTAAGCCTTCCTTCGCTGTTGTTGTCCAAGTCTTTTTTTTAGGACTTGGCTTGAGTTTTTTCTCCCATAAATATATTCCATTTGGATCAATGGTCGTCTTCAATATAAAAAAAGATTCAAAAACTAAATGAATAATGTAAAAAGGTTAATTAAATTCAAATAATACAACTTACTTTGAAATAATCATGTATATAGGGAGTTTCTTCAGATTCTACTTGTAAATCACTGTTTGCTAGATCTCTCATGTTTTTTATGAATCTAGCAGGTGGTGCTAAAAGTGAACCAACGATACTTGCAGAATAAAATTGATACATCATTAAGGCCCATAAAAAAAGGGTGATAAATACTATACGTCCAGAAAATACTTTCGGTCCATCGCTTAGGCCTATGACGTAATTATATAACATTCATAAATAATTTTTGATTATTTTCTATTGACAAGGCAAACCTTGTTGCGAAACAGCTGCAAAAGTGATAAGTGCAGTTTCTGAAGGAGCATCGGTGTAAAGAGATTGTTCTCGTTTTCCTTTGTAATGAATTTCAAGTTTGACAATTATCAGTAATACACCCCAACAGGTTATACTAACTGCCAATGTTAACCACCAAACATTTGGGCGGAACGGTTTTAAAAATGGATTCCTCAGATTACTCTTTTTAGGGTGACGAAATATCAGCCAAGGTCTACAAAATGCCGACTTATTAGAGTGATGAATTTTATGAAAAAATTAAATTCATTACTTGACAACATAAGTTTCTACAGTATGTTCACAAGCATCAAGTCGTTCCATTTTATATTGAAAAGGAGCTACACTTATGTCAACTGTGCCATTAATCATTTCACCAAGGATTCCAGTGAAGGATCCATTGATAAGATATCCCCAAGTTTTTGCTTTAGTAAGATGGATGCTAAAAATAATCACAAGTATTGTCAAATTTCACGGTTTATTGAAGAACTGGAATAGTCTTAAATTGTCACCTAAAATTGTAAAAATCCTTCAGTTGCATGATTAATGCATAATGAAATCGTATCATAGTATCCAAGTGAGGATTAATAGGAGTCGATAAGTAAGTATCCAGGTCAGGTTCAGGTTTATTAATAAGCTGTAAATAATTAATTAATCATTTCATAATTATTATGGACTATTTATAAGTAGCCACTGCAGACCTCAAGATGGGATAAAAATCTAATAGGAAAAATTAAATTTACTCCAAACATTAGTTTTTGCTCTAAATCACATGTAATGTCTACGTCCATATCACTTTGAAAACTACGGTTCTCGTCCGATCTCCGAATATAAGCAAAGTTGAGCGCGGTTAGTACTTGGATGGGTGACCGCCTGGGAACCCCGCGTGACGTAGGTACTCCTTCTTTTGCCATTTTTAAGCAATATTTTAATGTACAGTTTAATTTTTTCGACTATTTATCGACAAATTCGCCATTTTAGTCATTTAATATAGCCCATAAACAAAAAAAATGGCTCATTAATACTCTAAAAGTTCAGTTTTTTACCAGGAAACTTACAATTTTCTTCTATATTTAGAAAACTAACAATTTTTAAATCTCTCGAATTCGTGTCAACAGTATTAACTATACGTAAATAACTCAGTAAAAATAGATTTCAGATAGAAACATCCCGTTTATATACTAAAACTAATTTCTAAGTATTTATTAGTAACACTATTAATAACTTCATTGAAGATAAAACAAAATACTTACGACATAAGAAAAATTTAATGGTATTCCATGAAAATTCTGTCTTCTCGTATATTTATACTGCGTTAATTGGTTTTTTAGACCCTCAGAGGCATCCCAATGACCCAGCGAAGTAACATTGATTAATCCACCATGACGATAAGCATGATTATATACATCGTAGAGAACATAACTAGATGAACCCACAAGTGCCACACTCAGTTCGGATTCGATGGTGAGAGGTAAATTTTCTAATTGTTTTATCGGTACTTCTGAGGCTGCAGTAACCGCCAACCAGTTGTAAGATTCGTTGAATGATAAACGAGCAGAAGAAAACTACTCGTGAAGAATTAAAAAATTACAATAAAAACAGCAAATATTTAACCTGTAAATTTGATGTGAAAATACTTTTACCTGATTGAAAGTATTCAAACCTCCATCACAGTCCAAATCAAGAATCACTCCAATTTTATAGTAGTTAACATTTAAAATTTTATCCATTCTCATATCATCTTGAATTTCATTGTATGAAACTCTTTTATTTCCTTTCTGAACACCCCGCAGATGATTGAATACATCTATTACATAAAGCATTTAATGAGAAAGAATGTTATAGCTAAATTGAATAATTTTTACCGTAATTGGCCCAACAAGCAAACACTACAATTTGTTCAATATTTCTCCCTTGAAAATATTCTATAACAAAATCTGGATGAAGAATCGTATAACTTGAGCATTTTTTCAAAACTACAATAAAATAATATAAAACTAGTTGTTTTAAAACATTGGTCATAATTGAAGTTTAAATAAACATTTATTTGCTTTCTCTGCATCGACCTATAGGAAATAAGAGTTATTGGATGCCTTCTTGATATTATCTTATATTATATTTCTTGTCGATAAATATCACTCGATAAAGTTGTACAGCACTTTGATTTGAATGTCTAATTTTCTCTACTCATATGCATTATGTAAATTGCATAGCGAGAACTTAGTAGCTCTTTTATTAATTTAGGGTATCCCACTCGGATAGAACTACGGGCATATCGGAAATACGAATGATAAAGGGTAAGAGAAAGGATGAAAAGGGTACGAAGTAGTGAATTATAGTCATTACTTGGGACATGTATTCATAATAATACCGAGCTAAATATGCAAATGACCATTAAGTGACCGGTAAGGTGATTTATGAATTGCGCATGTATAGAACTGCTTATTGAAAATTTAAACCTTCACCCAATGCTTTATCCCTTTGATGTGAGCTTATTTATATTGAAAATGAAGCAATGATAATACACTGTATTTTTGTTAAAAAATTATGATAATTCGATATTGTTCATTTGCATGGCAAAAATTGAAGCCCCTTAACTTATGCAGTAGTATGATTTTGAGTGTTGGTGGAGACATCACCTACTAGGAGTTTATAAACTGGTAAATTTTATACATGCATAATTTTGAACTGCGGAATAAAAACAAAATATCATAACATTTTTTTAATGCGTATCCTGTCAATTTTTACTAATTGACACAGTGAAGATTTATTAATAAAGTGTCATCTCCATTCAATCTTCAAGTACCAAAATTGAAGAATTCAGCCGATAGGCGTACTTCCGAACGATATTTTCAACGAGCATAATGAATATTGCTATAGCAATGGCAGCACTGAGCATTACTAATGCCGGACTAAATTGATTGAGGTTCACCGGGGTTGGAGTTGAATTGTGACTTTCCGGGCACTCGGGTTGCCTGTGCTTCCAAATTTTCTCTAAACGACGCGTCATCCCATGCTCCACGACTTGACGTAACCTGAGTAAAAAAATTTTCGCTTTACTCGACGATTTTTTTTTCTAAAACAAAAGCTTACCCATAAGTCACCATTTTTTTGAAAGGTGAATGCTTACTGGTGCAAGTAGCCGTGTGTTTGGGTTCAAATAGTTGTATCTCGTGCAAATCGCATATTTCATTTTCATTAAAAGTTTCCTTAAAACATTATGCAACGCTATCAATCACCATGATCTACTTCTTTTTTTCATGTTTCATAATTTTTTAATTGTATGAATTATGCGCTACATAACCGAAATGTTCAATGAAATTCCGTTGCTTACGGTTATGAATTTATACGCCGTCGCTAGATCGACTTGGAACGCAAACCCTCCGGCTTGGACTTTTTTCAGACCCTCCTCTGCCGTGTAATAGGGGTACTTCTTTCGCTTCTTGTTTAAAGCAATTTTACGGTTGAAAAGCTCGATGATAGTTTTGTCGGTAGTCGTCTGTCCAAATGAATTAGAGCATATTGCACGGGCTTCTCGAATTCTTTTCAAGACGATATTTTCGATGAGAGGTAAATTTAATTATACAGTACCCGAAAAAAGTCGTGATTGTAGGGCATGTTTTCAATTCCGACTTCAAGATTGCTGTAAGTAAGATCTTTGATGGTTTTAATGAATCGAGGTTTTTCAGCGAGAAGCGAGCCGACTATGCTGGCGGAATAAAATTGATAAAGCAGCAGAGCCCATAGAAATAGAGACACGTATACGATCCTCCCAGAATACACTTGAGGAGTGTCGCTCAATCCTGTTGAATGGCATAAATTGCATTTCAGGCTTAAACATTCAGTCGCGTAAATTTTGCGCACCTTGTTGACAAATTGCCGCGGTAGTTATGAGAAACGTCTCGGATTCGGTTTTTGTGTACAGACTCGAAGTTTCGTCGTGACGCAGAAAGTGTTTTTCGAATCTAATTGTCACGTACATTAAAAGCCAATTCAACAACCCGATGATGACGGTTAAGATCCAAACGCTCCGTGAGAATGGCTCGAAAAAACTATTGCTCAGTTCCTGCCGCTCTGGATGCCTAAATATGATGACTGCTCTGCTCGTTTATCATGAGTATGCCATATTAGAACAATATTGGTTAAGATTAAGTGAAATGAGTCGTACCTTGCCATGTACCCTTGTACAGTGTAATCCATCACGTCTAATCTTTCGGGTTTAAATTGGAATGGGGAGGCTCCAATATCTACGATACCCTTCAGCATATCTCCTACGATGCCATTAAAAGTACCATTTATGAGGTAACCCCATGTTTCGCCGCGCATCAGGTTTATTCTAAACATTTAAATTATGAAAATTCCTGGGAAATTAATGAATCAATTGTACAGAAATCAAGTATTACGTAAAATTGTAGTAATCTTTGAGGTACAAAATCAAAGCATAATTGTAACGATGCATCGTATCTAAATGTCTGTCGATGGGTTCCATTAAATAAGTCGCCATATCCACTGCTTTCGGTGGAAAATCAACCTGCAGCAAAAAAATTGAAAATTCAGCCTCTCTGTCTCGATTGTCGCCTCGCGATTCCGAAAATTTTTATTCCCGACGAATCGCACAGACACACACATCGATGCACAAAGACCAAAAAAGAGAACTCACGACAATGGAAAAATTCAAATACATTCCATGCAAATTGCCGCGTCTTTTGTACTTGTATTGCGTCAGTTCATTATGCATACCGCTCTCAATGTCCCAAGCTCCCATTCTCGTGACGTTTAACTTTCCGCCGTGCCTGTAGCTCGGATTATACACGTCGTAAAGCTCAAAGTGGTCTTGCTCGCGCACCGCAAGTGTTAATTCGGCATTTACGCTGAGGGGCAACCGCTCGAGCGTGTCCACGGGCATTAACTTGCGGTCGTTATAGTCGTCGTCTTCTGCACTACGAGATATTTTTAGTAGCCAGAAGAACGACTCATTGAAGGGCAGCTTCTCGTCGATAAACTTTGTTTGAAGAAAAATTCATAATTTACCTTTTTTTTGCTTAACGTTTTATTGAGTCGAACCTGCGGCACGATATTATTTATGTACCTGATCTAAAATGATTTCGCTTTCCGGACAGTCTAAATCGAGGAAAACGCCGAGTTTGTAATAGTTCACCTTCAAAATTGCTTTCATATTCAGGCCATTAGTAATGCCGAGCAATAATAAACTAGTATTTTGCGATGATATTTTCCGGAAAACTCGGATGGATTCTAACGACGTAAATAAGCGTCAATATTTCATTCGAGTAACGATGGAAAAAAGCGCCTACCTTCCGGACTCCAGCATCCAAAGGCGACAATCGTGCGTATGTCTTTGTCTTTGTAATAGTCGTCGGCGAATTGAATATCGATTTCCTTGGCCTTGCTAGAGATTGTCGCAAAAACATAAAGTATGAAGAATTGCCTCGTTATCATCATGCGGCTCGTGATGGCTGTTTTAATATGTGTCGGAAATTTTGCACGAAAAATATTCCTCCACCACGGGAGAAATGTCCTTTTTTTAACGTAACACCGTAGTTTATAACGAATTACTCATTCAACATTTTTTTATAGGTCGACTAAGAAAAAAAACGTTAACACGACGTGTAATTGGTGATGTAATCCTTTTTTTCTTAAATGTCAACTAGTCCAACTGTGCTAGAAGATAAATCGTCATTGATAGATTCATGACTCATGCAAGGGAGAATCGATGCTTTTGCTTGGTATAAAATCATGAAGATAGTCAGAAATTGCAGGTATTGGCTCTATCATCAACAGAAAATTTTCATAACTATGGTTCTCCTGAACAAACATGTGCAGTATCTTATTTATTCAAGCTCCTATACCTTGGTAAACATACGGCTTAAATGACTTTAAAGTCCGACAATTATCGATGACTGCGCTGACAAAAATGTTTAATGCCATAATTTAAACAGCTTATAAACTTTTTAACGCAGTATTTCGGTTTGATACTAATTGCTATTTCGAAATTTCTGCATGATTCTCTCTGTAGTGCCGATGTCAGATTATCCCACACAAATTTTAATCTTTGTCTGAGATATTTGCATCGATTAGAAATTATAAGCAACGACGTAACACTTTTTTCTTCGATGGGTAATTGATGCCTACATATGTAATAAGTTTTTTTTAGCAAACACGATCGGTATCTATGCTTGACTAGATTCGTTAGTGGCTGCTTTAAACACTTTGTATTTTAATTAAGCTCAACGAAATTCAATTATTTTGAATGAAAAAATGTTAACTGTAATTTTTTTTAAAACATTGAATTTACGATGCAAGAGCGGATCACTAATTTTGAAAATATTTACTATTATTTACCTTACCTTGATTGAGTATTATTTGGTTCACCTTAAAAAATCATTTTCAACGTAAATAAAAAAAAACTTTGATAAGTGCACAACATTGAGATCAATATTTTGAGGAAAATATTAGTTATTTCTAAGGTTATTTTGTTACTAATGATAATATTTTTAAACGAGTATAGTCATTATGTTTACGATTGCCATCGAAATGTAATGAGCTTTTATCCTCTATAGTGTATTATATCTATTTTCAAATCAGATGCATGAATAATTCGTAAAAATAAAACGATTTATTTACATCGTTGTGAGCTTTTATTTATCCGTGTCTTATTAATTATTTACATTTTACTTTTCGCATTTACATCTGTTGAAAATAAGGGCTGAAAAAACGCAAAACTTATGGTACAAAAAGAGCAAAAAGATGGTACAATTTTGATGAATGATATCTAATACAATTACTTCCTGCATTTTTATACGATTATACTGATTATACTGACTGAGATATTTATAATATATTCTAATTTATAAAATAAATAAAAAAATTAAAAGTATTCATACATCGCATCAAGGACTTCGATAATCGATATGAAAATTTTTAAGATTATTAATACTTTAGTCTAATTCATTTGAACGATTAGACCCGAGGAACATTTCTCTACATGATCGTATCGATGCCCTTATGTTCAGCTTCTGCCATCATTTGGTGCAATAGCACGCCGTAAGCCGTCGGGTCGTTTTGCGCATACCACAGAACGAACTTCTGGAAAATTTGCAACTGCTTCTCGGTGCAAAACTTGCAAGACGTCATGACGGCTTCGGACAGTCTCTCTGTAAGTCGAAGCAACAAAAAATTATTCCCTGTATTTGATTTCGGAAGAAAACCAACCGAGAGAAGGAAGGAATAATTTACCCTTGAAAAACTTGGCCGCGTCCGATGGACAGTCACTTTTATGCATGAAACAGTCGTACCAGCTGTTACGGTCTTGCTCGCTGCTTAGCAATGCGTTGATGTCGAAGTCGTCGTGGGTCGTTGGATACAGTATCCATTCACGAGAATCTTCGTCGGCTCTCGTGTGCACGGCACAAATAAAAACAACGAGGATAATCGATAAAACTGATTTCCTCTCCATTTTCTTTTTTCTTATTTTTTTCTCTCAACGTTCTCACTTTTCTCGTTCACTGCGTATTTTTTTTTTTGCTTTATGCTCGCTGTCGTTCTCGAGACATTAAACGCGAACTTTTGAAAATCTCGACTCTGCGTCGGGAGTATATGTAGACTGTGTCATGGTACTTTGCTTGATTTAATGTCATGAAATTTGATGATTCGTTGTGGATACGCACATGCAAGTTAACTACTGTTTAGCACAAGATAATCAGGGAGCTATTACGGAGCGCTGATATGAAATATTATACATTCATCGCGATTGGCCTCGAGATGTTTGTGCTGCACACTCGGGCTTTTGTGTAAATGATCAAATCGGTCGAGAGGATTAATTCGAAATAATACCAAGGGATTTGAACAATTCGAAGGGCAAACTATTCTAAAATGTATCATGAATCGTACCTTAGTAAAATGACATCATCTACGAAAATTAGAAAAAACTATATAGAGAATGACCTTCTCAAAGCATTTAATTTGGGTTATTAAAAGTATATACATCTTATGCAACCAAGCTTAAGAAAAAATGAAAACACGAACGAACATCGTTTACTAGAGTCGTTCAAGTCTGAAACTAATATACATTTGAATTTCAACTTTTGACGACAAAAATTATGACTAACGCTGCAAATTGTTACTTTAGCCGACAGTAGAATTACGATTGTGATCTCCTAATAATTCAATGCGTCTAGAATGTTTTTGTGTACGCACTTGTCTCTTCGTATTAATCCGATTCTTAAGAAAAAAATTTTTAGTGAAATAAAAATGTTTTTACACGAGCAACGTGCGGCTGTGGCAAAAAAGACACCTAAAGAAATTTGATAAATGGTTTCTGGACAATCGGCTGCGAGGATGAATTGAAAAATCGCTACATCTGCAGGAACGTTTTCATGGACCTAATTGGTTTAGACCTATTCGGTAAAAAAACAGAAAAAAAAACGGTCGAACAAGGAAATAAATAAACTGGCGTGGGTTGAAAACTTCCTTCCGTGACTATGAATCTTTTATGACCATATACTTAATGCTTGAACACGCTGCGGCGGAGCCAGTGAACCGGTTGCCCCTGAACCACGTATCGAATGGTGCACGCGTGAATCGGTACGTCGCGAGCTGATCGCGACGCACGAGAGAGAGAGAGACGAGCTGTTACCCCTCTTGTCCTTCGTTTCGTCAATAAGCCGCGACGGCGGCACGCATACGCACCGAAACGTCATCCGTTCCATCTCTCGTCGCGACCGGGGGAGAACTATACCGCTCGCGCGCATGTATACAAGGAATACGAATTTCGCGACGAGGAAAAAGAGAGTAAAAAAAGTTAATTTCTCGGGAGCCGGTTTTTTCGATCTTGCTTTGTATATATATAAGACAGCGCGATGATCGGTAAGTTCGAGACAAACGAGCGCGAACGTGACTCGCGTGTACATCCGATTTAATCGGTATCGATCGCGGAAGCAGCAGTAGTAGCGGCGGCGGCTTTTTGTGGGATACACACGAATTCTGCAGTTCAGCGAGGCAAACTTTTTATAGAAAATAATGGCGAATAGGTTTGTTTTGGCTTTGGTGCTGTGCACGCTGGTCGCCGGATGCCTGGCTGACGAAGAAAAGTACTCCGACAAGTATGACTATATCGACGTCGACAATATCTTGAGCAACGAGCGCATCAGAAATCAGTACTTCAATTGTTTCCTCGATTACGCCCCGTGCCTCACGGCCGATGCTAAGTTTTTCCGAGGTAATTCTATGTCGATACATTTTAAACATTTTTTAGTTGTAATGAACATTTAATTTAATAGCTAAACCTCGCTAAATTTAGCCGAGAGCGAATATTTATTTTATCAAACTACATGTGCCTTGGATTTTGCGCACATTGTGCGGAAAATAGTCCGCTAATGTGTGCTTAATCCACTCGCTGGTGTAGCTCGTGCCTCTTTCGTAAATTTTGTGAGCGAATAAGCTCAATAAAAACTCTCATGAAACTTGTGCAAGTGTATTTATATGCACAATGAAAATGTGCATAATATTTGTGCAATAATCAGTATCTTATCTTTCTGTTTTTAAGTGTATATTTTGTATACAAAAACCTAAATGCATTTGCACAAGTTTTATGTACATGAACTACATGAACTACAAATGTCAACATGTTTCTTGGGCATTTGAAGTATAAAACATGTTTGGCATTTTGCACAATTAATGCAAGAATTATTAATAATTTTATTTGTTGATAATATAAGTACTATGATTGTAAGTGATTCACGTATTTATTTCAATAATTTACAATGTTAAACATATTATTTATGTTGAAATTAATGTGATTTGAAATAGATATGAAGACTTTTCTTGATTCGTTTTACATAGATTTTCCATTGAATTAAATATAAGATTCATCTAAAGCTGTGCTCTGACTCGTGTAGTAGCTTTTACTTGGGTACTAGCAGATTAACAGATGAAAGTGCTCGCCATCAAGCAGTAAATGCTGCATTGAATTATGATTGAATTTTCATATATAACATTAATTTTTAATAAAAGCGGATGATGTGATTGTGGAATTAAATAATGGAATGTGCATAAGAAATAATGTGTATGAATGAATTTTCCTACTTTTTTGTACAGTTCATGTAAAAAAAGTGGAGATCAGTCTTATAAATCAAATTTTAACAAAAATTTCATTAAAAGTAAATAAATAAAATTCAGTAACGGTTACTTTAATTGTAATGCATGCTTTTATGTTAAATCTGCAATCAATTGAAATGTTGTTTTAAGTAAAGTATTAATTATTTCAAACGATCCGACAACTTTTGGACACTGTTCCGACACTAAAGTCGCGGTTGGGTACTAGCAGGTTTACGCTGTATTATTTATAGTTTTAAATAATTCTAATGTCAATTTTAAAAATTAATTCATATTCATTTTTTTTTCTTAGTTACTCAAATTTTTAGTCGGATAAATACTAAGTAAGAATTAAAAAAAATGGTTTAAATAATGTATGGTAAATGTTAATTCTTGTATTTTTTATAGCATAGAGTTTTTTATTTGAAAAATCTTTAAAATTGACTGTTATTTGAATTAATTAATAATTTGTAAAAAAATTGCAATTGCAGATCATTTCCCAGAGGCTCTCGTAACGAAATGCAAAAAGTGCACGGAGAAGCAAAAAGAAGCTTTTGAAAAATTAGTACTCTACTACACGGAGAAAGAGCCAGAGAAGTGGAGATTGGCTCTCACCAAAGCAATTGAGGATTCGGGAAAAAAACGAGCTAAAAATTAAATTATGCTTGTAAAAACTATACCAAAAAAATCAGCATCTTATTTTATATTGTACATAAATAAGAAACAGGAAAGTAAATAAATCAACAGCTCGTTAAAACCTTCAGTAAAGAAAAACTTCAAATAGTGTAACTGAAAAAACATTGGATGCAAACATTTTCCTCCTTAATGACTTTACGATTGTAAAAAATAAGAAAAAGAAATTAGCTAGGAATAATCAGAAGACTTGGCAGTCAGATGCGGAGATACGTGTCCGAGTCACCCGCATTTACATGCAATTATAATAACGCGAGATTTTTAATGAAGTTAATTGATGGGAAAATCATTTGTACGACTTCGTGAATGATATATTATCTCTTTATACTTGGAGCGTCGGTTGCTCGTTTATATCCCTTAAATATTTTTAAAAAATCAACAAAACTCAAGAGCTAGGGTTTTATCGATGTTTTAATTTCAATAATTTCAACTATTGGATCATTTACAAAATCGATTGTTTCCACTTAGCGTCAAAGGCAATTCAAGCGTAATCCATACTGGCGCAAGCGCTCTTAAATCTATTGAGATAAGCGTAATTGACGCCACGAGGATCGTAAATCTGCTGAAGTTTTTGCCATTCTCTCGCGTACTGAGGCTGCTCCAGCATCATAATGGCGTTGCAGGCCGTTCTTCTCTCGTTCTCGGTACATTTGTTGCATCTCGTCGCGATGAGCTCGGGTAAAAGTTCTGCGATGAAAAAGTAAAAAGAGAATCCGAATTAAAAATAGCCGGCGAGTTGAATGGACTCGAGACCGTATATATAATATATAATGCAACGATCTCTCGAGGTTAACTTACTTTTCAACATTTGACCATCGGGTGGGCATTCACCTTCGTCCACAAAGCAGCTCAGATAAGTCTGGAATAAGGCCGGATCGGCAAGGACCGCGTCCATGCGCAGAAACGCGTTGGGATCGAGAGCCGATGTCGTGGCAATCGTGGATAATGCAGCCAGACACGCAACCAAGTATCTCAAACCTGATCATAATGAAAAAAAATGTTAATTACTCGTTGAGAATAGGAGTCTGAATACTGAAAAAAGCTAAATAGACGTTTTCTATAATTGAGGAATTATTCAACCGATACGACACGCACGAAAAAAATCGTTTTATGCTACTTCATCGTCGAGTCACTCGCACAAGACACTATCATCCCTCCCACAAAAAAAAGCACAAATTAATTATGCACAATCAAAGAAATCGTCCAACCTGCCATGATTCGAATTTGCCTTTATTAGCGCCGACTTTCACTTTGGTCTTGAAAAACTGCACTGCACATCGCCAGGAGCGCGAAGCCGGAATTTATAATTCCATCGCATCATCGATCCGCGCGCAATCAGCGACAATAATCAAAGGAGCTGGCGAGATGAGCACGTCTTCGCCAGCCACTGCGTGGCTTATCAATTCCGCATTGTGTCTTCGGGGAAATTACATTACACATTGCGCGCGCGCTGCAGCACACACATCCTTTGACTGTGGCGTGTGCATTATATAGGCTCCGATTCACACGTTGTATTTCGTGCGCATATTATGCATGTATAATATCGCGCGCACACGCGTGCCGCCCTTGACGTCATTAGGCATATCATATTATCGCGCAATCGTACATTTTCATCGTGATAATAAGGTTATTGTGGCGCGGCTTTCCTTGCGCTGAGCTCTCGCTTTGAGTTTTGAATGATTGCGGTTTTGCGTCAATTAATAAGTCATAAGTATGTCGGAGTCGGTTCTGGAAGTCGAGAAGTACTACGTACAAAAAGAAGAAATCAATAATTTAATAACTTTCAGAGTAAAATAATTGTAATAGAATATGCTTGTTTAACTAAAAGTACACTGAAATACGAATAAAATTATTCGAAAAATTCTTCATTTTATGAATAATACGAAAGGTATTTATGAAGAAATAAAATAAATCATAAAACAGTATTTTCAATTGTGTAACATTAATGTAAATATATTTTTCATCTGCCATTTCATTACAATTTTTGACGATAACCAGTTTAAAATATCATCTCAGAACATTTTTTACATTAAAACATTAATTTTTCTAGTGATGGAAAATACGTGTCAATTCGATGAATAATTATTTTAGAAGCAGATTCTTTAAAATCATAATCCAAAAAAGATTTCGTCTCAAGTGCTCTATACATACATAAAATTTTAATTTCTAAATATATTTAAAAATAAAGGTATATTAAAGCTCGACTATCATAATCTTAATCACAAATTAAAGTGTAAACATTTTATCAACTTAAAAATTAAGGTGATATATAAAAGAGAATCACGAATTCAAATTAAAAGTTAAAATTAACCACGAAGTTTTTACGTGAAAATCCGAAAACCAAACATTAACTCAATGCACAATTGGACCCTAAAATTGTTTGTATCTTATGCTCGTACATATTTGGTCATGTACACTGCATTTATTCAAGACAATCACAAGCCAGCTTCAATCGATTCCGTTATCTTACGACTCTTCATCGTAGTCAGATCCCTGAAAAAATCAATTAATACATTATACTTTCAGTTTTTGTACAAAGGTTTTGTAAGTGAAATGATTTATGATACATTATAGCTCGTTAAAATATTTTTATTGAACAATAAAATACTCATTACTACTAATATTACTCGCAGTCTATTTATTTATTCAGTTATTGAAAAAAAAATACAAAATTGGCATTAATAATTTGTGCTCCATCGTTGTGCGTTTACATAGGTGTATAAGATACCAATAACAAAAGCAAATAAATCTATATCAATACTCAACAATTAACTTTTTGTATAAATAAGGTAAAAAAAATCTCATAAATAACACTGGTGTATTTCAAAAAAGTAACACGGGTTAGTAAATATATACTCTCTTAGGAACTATAAACTGTCCTCAATATGAATGAGTTAAAATTTTCCAATACTAATAACTTGACATAATTGTGCTTTATCAAATCGATACTGATTAAAATGAGTAGTGATGAAGTAGATGATTTAACGTGTTCCTTTGTGTACCTTCATCATAGCTTTAATGCCAAACGTCACGGCGACGCCTAGTCCGAAAGTCAACAAATATGGCAAATACTTTATTCCAGGAATATCAGGTCTCTTTGCCAATGTTTCTGTCAAGAATTTTAACTTGGTCTCCGAATATGGAGGATAACGCGATCTGTAACGAGCGAATATAGTTAATCATTTTCGATGTTTGTAAGACATAATATTTTGTATTATAGTACTTACGATCCTACAAATTCACCAATGAAGTTGAATGTTCTCAGTAGACAACCCTTGGGATGGACAAATGTATCATATGATAATTTGCCATGGTATGCACCCATACCAGACATTCCTACTCCGCCAAATGGCAAAGTGTCAACTGTCGAAAAATCATTAATGATGAAAAATGGGACTTGATCATGTTTTCATACTATAATATCTGTTAGAATTGAACTACACAAGCAATACAAACAATACAAAACAACACAAATTGACAATACAAGTGTACAGAACTATGTAGATCTAATTATGTTGATCGAATGTATTGTGCATGTGTAAGTACTAAAAGTACTGATGTAAGAATCTATCTAAATGATAATGGAGATTAACAGCCCAAAACAATACCTGTCATATTGAATATTGTGTCATTAGCGATTACATTGCCACAAAATGTGTTGCTAATAAATAAATTAATGGTTTCGTTGTCGCTGCTAAATATATGTAACATCAAAGGTTTATCCCTAGTAAACATGAACAAGAAAACCATGCAAGTTAATTAGAAAATATTGATAAAGGCAGGACAATAACAGGATGTTACTCTAAGAATTATTATGAGTAAAATGGTTAAACGCTGAAGTTTAGTACCTATGAGAAAGATTATATGTATAATATGTAGTATGTATTATATATATATATACAGTATGTAGCATGTACAGCGTCATTACAGAAATATTTACAATATAAACAAAATTTAGTATAGAAAAGAAGTATTAAATTAAGTATTAAATGAAGTATTAAATTATCTAGTGGTATGAAGGAAAAATAGAAAAATTAGCAAGTTAAAAATGAAAGAAATCAGAAAATAACTTAATGATCAAAGCTCAATAAGGAGCATAAAAAATATTCTCATTACAGTATATGAGAATATTTGATTCGCAAACTCACCACTATATTGTAAAATTGTATCATTTATGCAAACAGCACCAGATTGAGTTTGACTAATGAATAGATTTTGCACAGCAGAGTCCTTTGAAAATGCATATAATACAAGAGGTTTCTCTCTGTATTATTAAATTTATAATTTGATTAATAATGAAATTTCTTTGTGTAATAATTGAATTAAAATTTAAATAAAATTGCTAATAGTTTTACTTAGCAATAAAACCATTCAACTCTATTGTTAGGAAATTCATATGTATTTTCATTTTGAGCTTTTAAAACTTACCGCTCATTGATAAACTTGATTGCTTCATAAGCATTGTTCACATTGATAAAAGGTAATATTGGTCCAAATATTTCTTCTTGCATAATTGGGTCCGTTGGCTTAACATTTATAAGAAATGTAGGCTCAATATATTTTTCACTTGGATCAGTTCTTCCACCAATTGCTACTTCTCCATTAGACAAGAAAGCAGCTAAGCGTCTATATGAAAATTTATATTTTCAATTGGCTTTATAGGATATGATGAAAATAATGTTAACATTAAGATTGGTACTCACTGAAAATGTTTTGTGGTGATAATTCGACAAAGATCTGGACTTTCTTTTGGATCTTCTCCATAGTATTCTTTTATAACACGTTTGGATTCTTCTATGATTTTATCTTGTACTTCTTTTGTACAAAGTACATAATCAGGTGCAATACAAGTTTGCCCAGCATTAATAAACTTTCCCCAAATAAGACGCTTAGCTGTGATTGGAATATCAGCTGTGTTATCTATGTAGGTAGGACTGAAAGAATATTTTTGATAATGTTATGAATGTATGCTTCAAATTTTTGTAGTTATTAGATTTAATAAAAAAAAAAGCCTCACCTTTTGCCCCCCAACTCCAATGTGACTGGGGTAAGAAACTTGTTGGATGCTTCCCGGACAATACGACCAACAGTTGTTGAACCAGTGTAAAAAATATAGTCAAATTTCTGTTTTAGAAGTTCAGTAGTTTCTGGGACACCACCATATACAACTTTGTAACATTCCTAAAAGTGACATTTATCATATTAAAACCATCTCTTTCAGATTCTATTAAGTAACATTTTTATAATAATGCAAGAATCATACATTGTCCAAATATTTTGGAACTAAATCAGCTATTAATTTGGCAACAGCAGATGCAACTTCTGATGGCTTTATGATGACACAGTTTCCTGCTGCTATTGCACCAACAACTGGTGCTAATGTTAGTTGAAGAGGGTAGTTCCATGCACCCATTACCAAAACAACACCGTAAGGTTCTTTGTGAATAACTACATCATCAAAAAAATTGACCCATGTTTTTGAAGGCTGCAATAGATATCCCACATTTAAAATAAATAAAGTAATCCTTTTAAATGCTAAAAAGTATTCTTACTCTTTCAGGAGCTGCCCACTCTTTAATATGACGGAGCATGTGAGTACATTCATTGATGGTGAAATCAACTTCCAGCACATAATTTTCAAACTTAGTCTGTAAGAATTATATCTTGTGATAAAAGTCCAAATAACTTTTGACAAATTTTATTCACATGAAATTACCCTTCTAAGATCTGTGCTTAAGGCTCCACTGAAATCTGATTTGTTTTCTTCTATCATTTTTCTTAGTTGTTTTATTTGCTTAATCCTGAAATCCATTGGGCGAGTTTTACCACTGTAAAACGTCTCCCTAGCAGATTGGACCATCTATAAATGATTGAAACATAATATTAGAACTTTCTCTATAACGCATAAATTTTAAAGTTTAAATGATACATACCTCTGCGTAGTTTGACATGTCTTTGCCGTTGATGGGAACTGTAAAAAGATAATAAAATTTATTAAACAACTAAGACTAAATCATATTAAAATTTATTTCAGCTGCATAAAAGTAAATTCTCTAATCATCCTTCAAAAAGTGCATTTACAATCAGTAAACTTACAAAATTCAACAAATTTTATATTTAAACAATACACTCAACTGAGCATTATCATAATTACTGCAAATTACTATATTAGTACTAAATATAGAATTTGAAAAGTTTGTAGAATATTAACCAAAACAATTATTACATTTAAAAATGCAGTAACGAAGATAAGTGAACACTTGACTTGGATGAAAACAAAACAAAAATCTTATGATAAATTTACACGATAGATATCTCCTTGTTTCTCAGAACATAATCAAGCTGCAGCAAGATGAATCCGAGTTTCTGCAAGTTATGCACGAGTACAACTAGACAAAAAAATAACAAAAAAAAATGTGTGATTCGTATTGCCAATCGAGCCGCAGCTTACTCATTAAAAAACAAACAAAACTACGCGATATGTCATGTGTGCTACAACAGTGTGTGTATGTGTAAGCGGTACAGCAGGCACACACGAGACGAGTCATTTGTCCCCTCCACCGACTCCCTTCGAGCAGAATGTATAGTATCATGTCGCGAACATGTGTATAGGTATAGAGTTTCATGTTTTGACGGAGATCTATATATGCAGCTACATTATACGCTATACAGATGAGACCTCTATATAGCGCGCGAATTACTCAAATTCCAGAGTCGGTGCCCACTGACTATAGACCTGCTGCTTATGTAGTGGTGGCGATTAGCATACGTCAAAAATTCATAAACAGATCGGGCTATCGGTGGAGGGGTTAAAAATTCGGTCAATCTTTGATCAAAAAAATGCAATTTTCACACGAAGTTATATTGACATTTTTTAATCAATTTATTATCTATTTGCGTCGAAAATTCGAGACCTCCGCGATGGATCATCGCCGGTATATAGCTCACAATCTCCGAGCGATAATCTGAAAAAATACATATTATGAAGCGCCACGTATGTCCTTGGAAGAGTCAGGATATTCGCGCTCACACACGCGACTCTCGAACGTATAAAGAAAAGTATTTTTATTATAAAAGACGTATAAGACCAAGGCTGCTGCTGCTGCCGCTGACTCTTTAAAAATGATTTTCGCAAGTTTCTCGAAAACCCGATTGAAATCGAGCGCAGAGTTCGAACAAAAATTGTCAATGATTTTACACGAACCTCTTCTTCTTTTAATGATAGAACGACGTTGCACAAAGATAATACCTGTATTAATGATATGAATGGGTCAAGCGAGAAGCGAAAGAGTGCTCGTGTGTCTCGCAGTGAGAGAGAGAGAGAGAGAGAGAGAGAGAATGTCGTAATATATCGCGTTTTTTTTTTTGTTGTAATATTGAAAGGGAAAGTTTTGCCGACACAAATAGACATTCGCTCGACATTACAAATCGAGTATATGAAAATGAACGATTGATTCACTTACTCTATCAAAGATGCACAAATGGAATAGCCAGAGAAAAATATTTAATTAATCTTCGAGAAGAAGCTACGAATAATCACGTACACTAAAAATTGACATGCACACGCACTGTAAGGAGATTTACTGTTGCGAGTCTGACAGGTTCTGACAGTCGTTTTGCACGCGACACCAAAACAATAACAATTCCCAAATTTATATGATTAATTCGGTACGACGATCTGACACGCACGAGTGGACCGTTTCGGTACAGACGAGAGAAACGTCTGCTCGATCGCGGAGTTTTAATATAAAAATACCGTATTCGGTCTTTCGTTCGCTGCCGATCTTTGCTGCTGCTGCTGCGGTTGCACGATCACGCTCGACTCGTGCGCGGACCGTATATAATGTAAGAGCCAGAGAGAAAAAGATAATTTCTTCGCAGCCGCAGCTGCTGCTGCTGCTGTTGTTGCCGCTACTTCGTGTGCGTGCCCATATATTTTTCGTACATGTGAATGTTCGCGAGTTCGATGTGTTGTATGTATGTGTGTATGAGAGCTCAAACCGGCAATTATTCATGCTGCGTGTATGGCTGTATAGCGTGTACGATGTACACACGTATAATGTGTACTCGTGTGTGCTTTATCGGCGATTAACGCTGATAATAAGGCAAAAATGAATCGTGCTTAATTATAACTGGCATCATTTTGCGATTGTGCGTGTGTGAGAGAGAGGGAGAGGTCAAGACGATAAAGAAACGTGATAAACGCGACGCCGAAGAGTTGGCGTTAAACTTTTTAAATATGTCAACTTTTGTGATTCAAATTTGTCGTAAAAATTATGCCGTCGTGATTTTTCAAATACATCAGCGGCATATAAGTAGTTTTGAGATTATGCGAGAGATGTCGCGAAGTAATAGATATTGTGCGAGTTAATCGGTTATCCGCGTATCTATGGCAATGTATCTCTCGCGATGATGCCAATAAAAACACGTTATTTTGCCCGCACTTGTGTCTATTATCTGCGGATAAATCGAGATAGCAAAGATTGTGAATTTTCAAACGGTAGAATCGTTTTAAAAATCGTTAAGAAATCGAAAAAGCTCGCGTTCGAAATTACCGATTTTTGATCAATTGGTCTCTCCAAAATTACGGTACAAAAGTGTGAAAATAGTGTGCGATAACGTGAGTTCAAAATTATACACTTCGAATAGATACCATAGCCGTTGAAGCGAGATATTTTAGCTTCTTCGACTTGAATTCTGACGGATTCTCCGCTGCTCTTGTTACTGCGACTCTCTTCCTTTTCGTCGATCGTTTCCGTCATCTTGGCTGATTACAGCGTCACGATAATTTTTCGTTAGTTTTGCTCTTTTTTTGTCAAATGATTTCGAACGGGAATTAGTCGAAATTGCGGGCGACGTGTCCTGAAACAGAGGCCGAAAGTGACTAAAAGTCGCCGCGTGTCGCGACACACGGCTCACAGTCGTGAAACTATTATATTCAATTGACAGCTCGACCCCTTCGCGCACGGGGGTACCCCCAAGACTTCAACGCCTCGTTAAATTAATCAATCGAGCCTATATATCATGCACAACATATAAAGGCGCTGGTCAAATGTAACGAGAAGCTCGAAGGTAAAAAGACTATTCATAAATAATTCGCTCGGGTCTTAAATAGCATCGTCGCCGTGCATTAAGCGATCCGTCGTTGTCGTCGCCGTAAGAACGACACACTCGCCGTGTTGTATGTATACATCGAGAGCTGCTACCGCTGCTACACAGTAGATAGTCGATGATGGACACTTATAATGCCATAATCGGATGGTCGATACATTGTCGTTACGCTTCGCATTATTATAATTATAATGCGCATACCTCGTTATGTGTAAAAGTCTATAGATAGTCAAGATTTTTCAAGAACACGTGCGATATATATTATTATTGCGCAGTTTGACGGCTATTAAAATTGGCCATCGTTGCCTGCGATTCGCCAACGATCATATATTATTAAAATTACGTTTAACACCGAGCGAGCTTGTCTATCGCGATCGAAACCGCCTCGGTATTACTCCTTTTTTTAGGAAGTATAGCGAGTTTGGGCTGTTTTTTCGTTAATTATAAATCAAGAAAAGCGAGGAAAATATTGAGTGGTTTTTTGAAATTAAACGCCTTGTGCTCCGAGACGGTAAACCTGTTTTTTACGTACTCGTGGTCTGGTTTTTTTGCACCTTTTTTTCAATTTCTCAATTGCAAAAAGGTCAATTAATAGCACGTGATCGAAGGCACCCGCATACTTGACGAATGTTCGATCGATTTTATGAGTAATTATAAAAATTAAGCTATAGAACAATTCTTTAAATCCATGTAATATCTATTGTGAAAATTACGCTGTAATGATCAAGGTTGATGATGCGTAACAAAAAAAGCATATAAGTAACCTTGAGAACTTTTTTTGCAACAAATAAATTCTATAATACGTATTTCGTTTAACAATGAAAAATACAACGATCATTTTACCGTTCATTTTCTTTGAATATGACACTTAAGCACCACTAGAATGTAATTATCGAATCGATATCCAGAAGCAGCTGTACACGTATATTACTCGCTCAACATTACAATTCAACGAACAGAAAATACCTTTGGGTTGCTGAGGAATCGGCTTGTAAGTATACATGGTTATCGGCACAAGATTAATTACACTGCAGTGCGAAGTCGGACTGTCTTCTTCGGAAAAGTGCGTAAAAAACAATGAGAAATAATCGATCTTGCGGTTCGGTGCGACGCGTTTATAACATTCCCTCATCGATCAGAAAATGACACTGTGCCGCTTGCCGAGCTCCTCGCCGGAGATCCTCGCGATATATGTGAATTAACATAAGCTGCTGCTGCACACCGCAGTTTCAAGATTATTTCACGTGTTCGCTTCGAATATGTTAACAAAAAAAACTCGCCGTGCGACGTTACGACTCCGGTCAGTGCGTATGTATATATGCCAAGATAATGTCGAACGAGCTCGCCAGGCTTGTATTTTTCTTCTTTTTTTCCACTGTGCACTTATCGAATTATTATATACGAGTTTTTATTATTATTTATTATCGCGCTGCGATTCAGCATATAGTCTTCGGGCGGGGAAAAGATTTAATTGTCGAACGACTTAAAAATTAATTTGCAACTTTGAAGGGAGTCAAGTTCATGCTCAATCCGTTAAGTTGCTGAAACTAGTTTGCGAATCGAATTTACTTATTCTCCGCTTATACCTAAATCCTCTAAATATTACGGAGTCGATGAATTATTTACGGAGACACGTGCTCGGCGGACTATATAAACACGTGAATAATACACGATGTCTCTCAAGTGTGCGAGGTTTGTTTTTGCGCAGCTTGAGAGAGCCTTTTCAAACTGGCCGACCTCAAAATCTAAATATAAATATTTTATAAACGAAGTCATATTCGCGTTTATAGAGTAGATATTATAGAACCGAGCATAATACTGTTAGTGGTCGTGTTTCTTCGAGGTAAAAGTCAAGCTCTCACTCACCTTCGGTCATCTGATCCATGATGACTTCCGTGTTCTTGGGTGGGTCCAGCTCGATTCTGCATACTCCATGATCGATGTCGGCGATGTCGATCTTCACGGCGGCGTCGTTGTTCTGCCGGTTAAGCTCGTTCATATCCAAAACCACGTCGGCCTGTGTATCACGAGACAAAATTGACAATCAACGAAATACCATTTGACTCGCGAGCACGTGTGTGTATTGTTTGTGTGTTATATTCTATTATATTGCAATTGTCAATGATATGCGTGGCGCGCGTGCTCGCGAGACGCAGCTCGTTGTTGCTATATAAATTACAATAAACTCGCGCTTTAAATGCGCGGCTACGCGAGTGTGCACGTATAACGTAATGTTCCTCTCGCAAATTGCACGCTATGGAATCGCGACTTAAAAATGAATCGCCTTCGAAGCTCGAAAAACGAGGTGGTGGGAGAGGAAAAAAATAATAAGAATACCATCGATGAGAAAAAATCCGCGGCAGAATAAATCCGCCGAAGAGATCGTCTATATACATGTGCGAAGCCGGTTATGTGAGCGTGTGAGGAACGTGCGTATGTGTGTGTGTGTGTGTGAGTTAAGCGAGAGTCAACGTGTGTAATATCGAGAAAGTGAAGGTGGCGGAAATAACGTTTGAGAAAACTCGTCTCTTTGGTGAAATTGTTGTTCAACGATATCTTGCTGCCAATTGACAGTGTTACGATGACAGCACTCCGGTAGCGCGGCTCCGTTCGCCGAGCTTAATATTTACGCAATGGTTTTCTGCTAAATTAATGATATGTCATTTGCATAAATCCGTGTGCGTGTGTATGTGTTCAATTACGTTATAGTCCAATATGAACCTCGATATTTATTTTCAATTATAACGATTATTTTTTCAAGAACTCATGAACGCTTTTAATCGCAAAATCTAATGGTGCACGGAATTTCATGAGTTTCGTGTAAGGTAAATTTTTTTTCTCCATTATTTGACTGTACACGGCCTTTCGCGGAGCTTCTTGTCGCGACTATGCAGTGACCTTTCAACGCTTCTATACTTTAAACAAGCCATAAGTGAGTTTATTTTGTCAATCACGTTATCGACAGTTTTTGTAGTATTTCAAAGGAGCTGTATCACATTTCTCCAAGATTATTATTTAATATTTAGATTTTAAAAGGGCACAATCAACTTGAAATTCAAATAAATCTTTTAAGCACATGTTGATTGTTAAAATGAAAATGAGCAAAAAAATTGTAGGCTCATTTTTATCGTTCGAATAAAAAATTTTCACCGTGTTTTTACAATAACAGAGCCAATATTATAGTTCTAGAATTGAGGTAACATTGATTTACATTTTAAATAGTTAATTGTATGTAAATTATTTTATACGCTTTAGGAGCAACACACGAGTGGCATGAAATAAAGTAACCGCGTCTTATTTCACATAAATTTAACGCAAAGTATGTCGATTTTTTCCATCAGGTGTCATCATTAATATATTGCAAAGTAGAAAAAATTGTTTTAAATAATATTTTCAATTTAACAGTAATGAACGTCTTCATTACAGTATGACTGTAAAATTAAATATACTCCAAGAGACAAGTCAAGAATGAATGCCCCAGTATATGAAATTGATTGTTTTTGGAATACTCAAAATTAATAAGCTCGTTTCACTTACCATGTTGCTAAGTGTAAATCGCACTCAATTAAAATGACTGAAAATATTTTTGTTCTTCTTCGATATGTTGTCCGTACCGTATGCAACAAACTACACCGTGCGACTGGCCAACCTCTTCAAAAAGCAATTCGACAAAATTAAAGCACAAAACACATACACACACTCACAAACACGAGTCACACTGCCGAAATTACATCGAATTAAAATGCATATATTTTACAGCCAGAGCATGTGGGCAGCCAAAGGGGAGACGACCGAACTGAGCGAAATAAAATCACATCGAGCTAACGTTGAATATAAAAAAAAATGGCAAGCTCATCATTGGCCAAAGCGCCAAAGACACTTTTACGCGCTCTTACGACTGCCGGTGGTGCACAGAGCTTATGCGCCTCGATTTACTCGTTAACTCTCATGTGTCGATCGCAGTCGACTCAGCAGACCCGCGATATACACCTCTCTTTCTCTCTCTCTCTCTCTCTCTCACTGTCGCTCTCTTTCTTTCTGCCTCTCGTTCTCTTTATTATATGCACTTTGGGTTGCGCAATGTGAACTGCTGTGTTCGGGTATCAATTTTAACCGGTGCACAAGTGATAGTGGCGGAGCTCGAAGCACGTGCGCTTCTAGTGCGTTTACAGGTTTTCATAGCTTAAAAAGAGAGAGCTAACTAGTTGGACTATTAACATCGATTGAGCATAATCTAAATATCTATTGCCCTTTACCATTCTTTTTTTTTCAGTTTAACCTGATGAAAATCAGGTAAATAAAATAAAGAGCAACACTCTTGAACATGACCGTTGGCTTGTAAATGGAAGCAAGGGTCAGTTCGCAATACAGTCGATGCGCGCCAGGGTTCATAATTATAGGCGAGAAGCAAAAAAAAAATAAATGTTTTTGAAAAATCTTTTTTGATGTAAAACACCTTTTTTATACGTTGCCAGCTAGGGGCATCTCTTAATACGATTTACAAAAAGTTAGATTACCTTATAAAGACATGTTAAAATATCAGTCACTAAATATAATACTTATTATATTTATTTACATTATTTTAATATTATTATAATCTCATATTTTCAGATTTTCCACCGTTTTTTCATTCGTTTCTTCGCGTATAAGTTGATCGACGATTTTTCATCGCAAATTATTCGATTGACTGGAACATATAATATGTACTCAAAAAACGGGAATCTGAGCGTAGTGGGTGCCCGCCAGCGGATCGTCGAGCGTCAGCAGCACCATGAACGAGAAGAACATGGCCACAGCCGACAGGAAGTGCCAAATATCGTGGAAGTCGTAAAAGACTATGGTGCAAGCCCGATTGTACATTCTGGAAGTGGCTGGCGTCTTGGACCAGCTGGTCGTCCTGCTGTAGAAGAAGTACAGCGCAATTATCCATATAATTATTGATAACGTCATGTAGACGATGGTGTGTGGTAACAGCTTTTCGCCGTAATGAATCTGAAATAATGTTTTTTTATAAAGATGCAGAAGTTACGATGAAAATTATAAGAAAATATCGATTGTCTCGTACCTTCATGTAAATGTAGAATACCATGTAGAGCGAGAGGTTCAATAAGAGAATGAACAAGAGATAATGTGCGAAGTCCACCCGAAAAGTGATCCCGTAAATGGCGGCGCCAATGTTGAAGAAGTTGCCAATTGCCAAAATACAAAACCGCTTTCTGTGAAGGGGCTTAAACAAGCAACCCGATCCACTTTGCGGTTTTAAAGTCTGAAAAAGTAGAGGTTTTGGCGCATGCACCACAAGGTGATTTATTTGAAAAATTGGGATCGCCAAGACTTACCACTGCCATGCGCTTTAAAGTGCCTTTGTCCAATTTCCACTTGCCCACATAATAGATCTGAGCGCTCAGAAAGGCGCAGAGACCCAGATGAATGATCAAAAATATGGCCCGAAAGTAGATGCCCGAGCCTTTTACGACACCATACACGACGAACAGTATCGTGAGCGACAGAGTGCCGAAGATCGTCGGGGCTTTGGCATTGATGTCCGGATGGCGGTTCTGATAGATCTTCACCATGCAGAGTACAGCTATTATGTACATGAAGCTCGTATCTGCGTGCACGAGTTTAGATAAAAGGACTTTGACCTTCTGGTACTGTTATAGCATAGCAGATTGCAAAATACTCACCGAACTGAAAAGCACTGTGACTCGGACAGACGTGATAGCTACCCGACATTATTCCCTCCATGATCAAGGCGAAACCCATGGAATAGTAGAGGCCGTAGTGGGGAGGAATGCCGTGATCCATGTTGCACTCGTCCCAATCGGCGCTTTTGCGCTCGCGCGTATAGACGATGGTCATGAAGAGCGTGCCGAGCATGACGTAGCCGAGATTCGAGAAGACGTGATTGAAGTCCGACAGCTTCATGAGCGGATGCGAGCAGAGAAAGTTGTAGTAGCAGAGATCGTGGTTACCGGTCATGTGCAGCATTATCTGATCGGTAATGACGAGCTGGACGACGGGCGCCGCGTAGAAAATCGCGATCGTCACTAGATAATACATGTAGAGCTGCGAGTCTTTGCGCAGTTTTTCGGGCTCCTTCTTCGACAGCTCGCAAAGCGCGAGCTTGTGGGCGGTGATGCCGGAGCGCTTGACCACCTCATAGCTCATTGCCGATCGATCGACCACGGCGCTTATTGATTCAATGTCTAAACTTTCTACTGGTTGTTGTTGTTGTTCTTCTTCTTCTTCTTCTTCTTGCAGCGACTCGTTGTTTTCACTCAATTCCGAGTTCGGCCGGTATCTCGTCATTCTAACCTGCATAAATGCAAATAAATAATTCTCATCGATTAATTCAAAATTATTTAAACGATTAAAAGTACCCCTGCAGCAACGGGTTTATCCGCTACGTGTTTGAACCTCTTGTGGTCGTGGAACTCGAAGTAAATTGTAATGCAGAAAAACATGGCACAGAATGCTACGATAACAATGGCCGTTGCGAATGTTGCGATGTAATACTCCTTATTTGTGATGCCTTCTTCGATTATCAGACTGACAACTTTTTTTCTGTCCTCTGGAACGTCTTCGTCACCCTCGTAGCAAAGTTTGTCGTCCGCGTTGACGATTAATACAATGAAAAATCCATCGGGGTAATTTTTTCTCTGTAAAAATAATAATTTATCGCCGAATGCATCTAATTATAGTAAAACTACAAATATTATAAAGATACGACGCAGAATGAGGAAAAATTGTTTGCGTTTTTGATTTAGTCATACTTTGTTTTTAATTTATTCGAGATAAAATCAACTCAAAATACCGTCATTTTTATATAGTATAATAAAGTCTCTCAGATAATTTTTATCTTAGTCAAGTGTTTTTCATACTCAATTTTACCTGAATGGTCATTCCTCCCTTATGGCTGACAGTTTGTCTATATCCGTTGAAGGAGATGTCCTTTTCCAAGTCGAATACTGGACACTGTTGAGTGGCAAAAATTATAATGGCATAATTATTGCGATTAAACTAATGAAATTATGAGCGATATAAAAATTCTTACGATAGCATTCTGAATGGAAAACGTCATGCACGTTTTCATAGTGTCATAGGTGGAAAGAACTTTGACAAGTAGAGTGGAGTTTTCTGTATTGTCACCATAATCGTATGCGTAGACCATCGGCTCAGACGGAGTAATATTGAACGACTTCATTTCGCCGATTCTACAATATAGCGATTGATTGAGAGAAAATCACCCTGGTTCTTTGCAATCATAATAATTAGTTAAGAAAAAGTGTACGAAAGAATTACCTCATGTAAAAGTCGGGCAAGCGAGAGAGCCGGAGTTCGAAGTTGATATTTTTCGGACTATCAGTCGATATTGTGATAGTGGCATACTTGTCGACGTCCATGCTGTTTTCGATAGGTTTTTTGTAATTGTAATGTTGTGAAGGGCACAACATTCGGCTTGTTCTTCGGCTGAAACGGGGCAGGTCGACGATCTCGCCGATATCCGGCAGCAAAGGCACTTGCCATGACAGAACTCCACTTTTCTGTCTCACTACGACGAACAATGGATTTTCCAAAGTCGCATCGGGGCTCTCTACGGTGAGCTGTGAACCTTCCCTGGTTCCAATCTGCATCGACACAAAGTGGAGCGATAAAAAGGATTAAAAATACACAAAATGGATATTGAAACGTTTATACGTACATCATTTTCGCTGTAAACAAAAATATACTCGCGTTGATTATTTAGCTCCTTTTTATATTCTTCATTAAAGGTTGCCGAAACGATGGTCAGATTCAAACTGAAGTTCGTACCTTTTTCGGAGGAAGAACAGGAGCCAAAAAATACTAGAACTATTAACAAGATTATAGCACGGAAACACTTGATTTTACCTTTTATTTTCATGCTGTAAAACAAAATATAACGTCACATTACTGAGTACTACAAATAATTGAATGAACGATCAATAAAATTAAAATCTCTCAAATTTTTTTTTAATATTTAATGTAATTAAAAATTTTCGATATGTTTACAATGAATTTATAAATGAAGGCTTATACTGACATTGATTTTAAATCAATACAGCACTTCTTCTAAGTGCCGTATACCTACTACTGGCAATGTGATAATTGAGCTAAGGCTAAAAATACACTAAAAATATATCATGAGGCGAACCGGCCACGCTTATCGCGTGAAATGAACAAGCGATCGATACGATGTCGCGTACAACAGTTGAGATAATGCGGCACGGGTAATCACATTATATTGCTGCAAATCAGATGTCGCCAGGTATAATGTATAGTAATCGTTCGTGGGCGTGTTATAGAGATAAAATTAATTTTACATAGATACTTTTCGACTCATTGTAAATTTTAGTAGTAAGTGCCAAGCGGCCTCGACCAACACTACTGACATTTCCAAAAGAACTTAATATTTTAAAAAATAATTAATTTGATTTTTCATAGATACTTTTCGGTTAGTTTTAAGTTTTGGTAGTGAGTGCCGAGAATGGGAAAACTATCTATATTTGTCACGACAAAGTGCGGTAGAGTAAAAAAGCTTACCAGCGGCGACTTCTTAAAAAATACTTAAACAATATTTAAAAGCAATATTTTCAATTTCCATTGCTCTGTTTTTGTTTATTGATTAATATAATCATTCGTAAATATGATAGGTTAAATTAATTAACTCGAAAACAGTCACGAAAAATCCTATTTCGATAAGACAAACCGAAAAACTAACTGAAACTGACGATTACTCTATATTTTCATTTCATTATTTTCTTTTCTTACAAATTCACATCCAATTTATTTTGGTTTTGATACGACAATGGAACTGGGCTCCACTTTTCCTGAATACTTGCTTTGCCGCAAATTGTGAAAAAAATACCCGTACAAATAGGGAGAATAAAAAATGAATATGTAATTATTTCTATGTCCAGTTTTCCTCGAAAATCCTGAACAAAAGGAAGAAAGCTCGGTTACGATATTTGGCACACATATTAACAAAATTTGTGTATACTTACGTAGTAGAGAAAGAATATGAGCAACAAGCTTTTGAAAATTTGATTCGCAGCTTCTGTAATAGCAATGAGGATACCCGCATAATAGGGGCTCAAGTCCATATGGTTGAATACAAAACCACTGCTTTGAAAGCTTATTAATCCTATAAAAACAAGATAAATAAATTCATCCCTATCTACATAAATTTTCTCTGAGATAAACGGAAACTGGACTGAATAAAAAATTGATAATGCTGCCATTGGTACACAAGTGGCAAGGAAATTGAAGATCTTTTGTGCTCTGAGTCTTGTTAAATATTTTTGTGCCACAAGTGCGTCCGACAGACAGCCCGACCCAATACTACCCAGAACTAAGACTAAGAACTTCAACAACATGCTCTTCATTAAACGCCGTGCGTCTGGTAATTCAAATGGATATCCATACTGAAAATATAATTGTTATAACATTAGTGCTGGGTTAAAAAAGAAAGAAAACCAAATATCTTACTTCGTCTGAAAAGATCATTTCATGCAAAGCAAAGGAAGTCGTGAGAGACATAATCAATGTCCAGACAGCAAAAGATGACAGCATCGAGCTCCATGGTATTTTTGGCTTGAACGACGGAGCTTCGTTTACGAATTCCAGGTCGCAGTTTGATCCCGCAAAATCGTACACAATACTCCACATCACGGCGAATAATCCAAAAATGAAGTGTGTTCGTACGTCAACTGAGCCAAAAATATTGATACTTGAAATAAGGGCAATACCAAGGGTAAAAAGTACGATGAACTGTTTCGCGGATAAAACCAACGAAGCTAAAAGTAGATAAGGATCATTTATAATAGTCTTGGTAAATATTGTTCTCAAATATAAATTATTAAGTTTACCAGCAGTCGTCCGATGCCGAGGCAATATCATACGCGACAAGAGTACGTAAACACAAGGTAGGACCGGCGCTTCAATTACCCCAAAAAGTAAATTAAAACCCACGATACTTAAAGCGGACTCGGGATCTGTATCGATACCAAATTTAAAAACCGCTCGAATCATGTGCAACAGACCGATACCGACAATGCTCAGACATAAAAGTTTTTTTGCGTTCCAATTAGTGGCTAAGATAGCAGCAGGTACAATCATTAAAACGTAGCTCAAAGTGCTTGCAAAGAACGGCAAAGTTAAATCTGTAAAATAAATAACAATTTATTCTGGTCAATCGTTCAAGAGAAAAAAACATAGTTACCGAATAATAGCATTTTAATCAGTGTGAGGGATTCAGTATGTATGTAGTGCGATTGATAGAATATCAATACTGCAAAAAATATCAGGAAGATCTGAGTGGCTGCTCTGCCATTTGCATCTGAAAAATAGTAAAATTTGTCAAGTAGATTAAATGTTTGTGATTTAGCTACCTATTGTCAAAGCTAAGGCGTCATTAAACATTTTTTAACTCTTAAAACACCGGGATACGACAAATTGCCTCATTTCATTGATCTCAAGATATTGGACATTAGTTTTTTCAGATATATAATAGGCCTCAGATAAAGAGCATATGTAAGAAAATATAAAAAAGTATAAAAAATTGTAAAAAAAAGTCGAAAGTCGGTCCGTCACAAAGCTTCTTCTATGAGGAAGCAATATAAACAGCTATAACTACTACCTTTACTTATACCAATGTTTTTATAAACTATTATAATCAATAAATTTAATACTTTTCAATAAGACATAAGTTGAAAAGTGAATATTCTCGAACTATTTTTTTACATTTCTAGCCGAGACTTGTGGACTAAAGGCACTCAATGCACTATGTGCACTTATACCTCGTCCAAAGTTTGCTGGGCTAATACTTCAAAATCTTTCTGTAAAAGAAGTATCGCAAAAGACTTTATTAATTGCAAACGTGAATATGCTTAGACATTGATTGCTGCACGAAATTACGCGAAACTATAGGTTTTGGTCTTTTTATTGCGTCTAACTGAATATACTTAATGTATTTCATGAGGCATACGCTTAAAAATTGTTATCCTCATCTGCCTCCACCTACCAGAACAATTCTTACAAAAACTCCAAACGATTGAGCGAGCGTGAGAGTTAAAAGGCAACAGAGCATTCAAAAAACGCCGCTAATTGAATCACAAGTATTGTATACTTTTTATAGCAATGAGCTTAGCTCATTTTTAGGCTCACTTGGCTGAGACATAAGTTGCTGATAATAGCGTCGAGGCGTTAGAGCACGAGAAACTGTGATAATGAGCAGCTAAAGTCACGGCAAAACGAACCTGAAACGTGACTTTGAGCTACGCAGTGCTATAAATATAATTGAAAATGATATATGTTTACCTGCATCCTTGTAGACCAGTGGATTAGAAGTCATCTTTTCAATCGATCTCTGTGACAATATTTTTTAAAGTTTTACGAAGTACTCGTCAGCAATATAAACGGTATAAACGCTCGAATCAACCATCCGAGCAGTTGTATACGAAAAAGACAATTATCTTAGAATATATCAAAATAGTTCGATATCTAAGTAACGCTTATGGACAACGTTTCACTTATATCATAAAAAGTCTATTTCAAACATTCATATAATGATGACACCAAAACGTAAAACGAATCGAGAATCTTACGCATGATCTAGTTGAGATTCATCCGAGCTGATGCACAACTGCGCCGGTCTTTGCTGCTTCGATTTGAAGCTCTGTTGCTGTTTCAAAAACCTATTTTTTAAATATAATTTTTTTGGCTCTACACTTGCTTATAATTGATACAAGATCAATTGACGATTGTGACGAGAATGAAGCCCGACTTTTGTTGTTAAATTTTTTCTTAGAATTTTTGGTATTTTGGATTGTTGGCATGCCTGTGAAAAAGCAGCAGGTTTTAATTAAAGAATAAAATTGTATTCGTAAAGTATTTAAAAAAAAATCGTTTTTTTTTAATTTTTTAATAAAAACAATAAAAACATTTTTTATAAAGTCTGGAATAATTCGGATTTTGAGTTTATCATTTTGAAAATTAAAAATGTATAATTATTTAGCAAAAGTAGAAATGATGTTTAGGGGAGAGATTTACCAGTGCATAGATGTCGAATATTTAAACTATTAAAGGAACTTAGAGTCAAGTTTATAATTTTATTATCAAACATTCATTCATTTAGATAACAATAAAATCTAAGTAACATTTTTCGTGAAAACGTATCAAAATTTACATTCAGCATTTACATTAATACATTTTTGTCTAGACTTTTTGTAAGGCACTTAAACATACAATAGTACAATAATCACATTTTTCTATATTAACGAAACGCACTTCACAAGCGCGTCTTGGCAGTGTGTCAGTGTCAGTACCAATCAATGAACCTTTGGACAGCCATCTTCCAGTCTCTGTATACATTTTCGTAAACCGCGCGTACCTCTTTATTTGGTACAAATACTCTTTCAACTTTTCGCAATTTCGTTATATCTTCCTTGTCGCTCCAAATTCCTAATAAACGTAAAGCAATTATTATAATAGGTATATTTGAAAATAAAACATTATCAAAAGAAATTTGAATCACCTTGATGAAGTCCGGCTAAAAATGCCGTGCCTAAAATTGACATTTCAGTACTAGTGCTACGCTCAACTTCCACACCGGTCAAATCGGCCAGAAGCTGCATGACGAATTCGTTATTCGATACGCCTCCGTCGACTCTGCACTCAAAATAAAGAATGAAATGAGAAAACGGAAAAAAAATGTAAAATCGATTTTAATGTTTAAAATATTCACGCACTTGATAGTTTTGAAGGATAGTTTGGTTTCTCGCTCGATCGTTTCGAAAATCTGTAATACTCTGAATACTAGGCTCTCTAGCATAGACCGGAACACGTGTGCCACTTCGGTGGTGGGTTTGATACCGATAAAACCTGCAGCAGCTTTTGGATTATTGAACGGAGCCTGTTCAGAATTCGAGTGTAAATCAATTGATTGAATCGATCTAATTATTATTTCTATAATTTTAGATACGTACTTGCAGACCACTAAAAGCGGGTATGAAGTAGACTCCATCGGAATCTTTGACCGAATTAGCCAAGTCAAACAAATCTCCTGGTTTTCTGATGAATTCTAATAATGAATTTAAATATGTTATTATTTCATCCCTATAATACCAATACTTTTTTTGTGTAATAAATTTTTACCTGCATAGCCCGCCCACTCAATGACTGCTCCTGTATCGTTCGATGCACCTTCAAAAATGTAAGCCTTTTCTGAACCAATTTTCCAACCAAGAAGAGGATACAGTCCTGAAAATAAGATGAGAAATTATAGCTTATAGTTTATACTGAAATTACGTACTTAAGGAGGCTGTAGCGCTGTAGGAGGTTCTACAATTGAGTGCTCTAGTACTGGTATTGCGCGGTGCGTTACGCAGTGCCGCAGCACGTAGCGCCGCCGGCGGCAAGCAGCAGACAGCAGCGTCTGCTACAGCTGTGGTACATGTGTTATACAAGGCTCGGCTCTGCTTCTTTTACGCGCCACTCGTTGACGTCGGGTGACCCGGTATCGCTACGGTACAAATTTTCAAAAAATCATAATTTGTTTATTTGCACGGAAACCCCCATTTTTTATTGTACCATTCGAAAGCTAATGAAATTTTCTATAACATATGTTAATTTCATAAACTTCTTAAGTGATTTGAGCTCACAGTACACTAAAGACTGCCTGCTCCCATTTAAATCAATGTTAAATTGCCGAAACTTTGAAATTCCATATTTCCCAAATTTGCACGGAAACCCCCAATTTTTTTTTTACCAAAAATCTTGTAATTTCACTAACTATCAGTGGTTAAAATTTCATTAAGATCTTAAGTCTTTTTCATTTTCGCTACAGCCTCCTTAAGGCTATATATACCCACCGGAAAGTGATACACGAAGCTCGTCACCGGTATTGACATTCAAGAAACTGCCGGTACCCATTGTCAATTTGATGTCTCCGAACTTCGTACAGGCGGATCCGTAAAGCGATGCCGACTGATCGGCCATAGAGCATCCAATCGGCACTTCGACACCGAATAATTCGGCCGTTGCATTTCCAAAATCTCCAGACGTATCGACGACTTTCGGGAAAATGGTTACCGGCAAATTGAATAATTTCTGCGCCCAAACGCCCCACTCCATCGTGAACGGGTCGTACAAGCCCGTGGCAGAGGCCGAGGACACGTCCATCACGTGTCTGCCTGTCATTTTGTAAAGGAGCCAAGAATCCACACCGCCGAAAACTGCCTTGCCATTTTCAGCGTCTTTTCTCAAGCCGTCGATGTTTTCCAATGCCCACACCAAGCGCAGCGTCATCTATCGAGAACGGTTAATTAGTGGAATTTGTTGCGAGAAATGTGCGAATTTCAGCTTAATAGTGCCAACTTATTATTGTTTATGCAATTATCGATGAATCACCGTGACAAATCGCAACTGGGTATAAATAATTTTTACTACTCGTGTTGGCCATCGAGCCGTATCGAATAAAAAGTTGCGACAAAAACAAAGACGTCTCACCTGCGTATTCATGAATTGCAAGCAACTAGCCGCCAGGTATCGTTTGTTGCGCGACAATCTGTAGAGTATCTTCGCTCCTAATCGTAATGCACCCATCGTAAACGAGCGGTTCCATTCGCTTACCAAGTCCTTTGCCCTCAAATCCTTCCACGTAATAAAACTAAGTGAAGAAGAAGAAAACATTAAAATCGTGAACGAATTAAAAATAAATACTATTTAATAAATTTTAGAGAATTTCTATCTACATTTTCCGACTGGATTTTTATTTTGAGCTCGATTTTTGAGCTCAATTTTTCTGAAGGTTTTTCGGAATGGAAAATTGAGTTAGAAAATCAATTCAAATAATTTTTCCGAGAAATGTGAATTTTAGAACTTTTAACGGTTTTTTTTTATTAGAAAATATTATCGGTTAACATTACTAATAATCAATATATTTTTCTAAAATGTTTCTACTAATCAAAAAATGATGGACCTAAATTAAACATTTTAAAGCGACATGAACGGTGGAAATAAAAACTGTATAAAATTTAATTTAAATAAATGCGTGCAAAGTGCGTCTATACCTACCCTGCTGAAAAAAAGTCATTGGAAAAATAATATGATGTTTGTTCATATGAAGTCTGAATTTATTAATGTCATTGAAAATGACTAAACTACTTTTAAAAATTGCTTAAAAAATGTAAATTTATAGCACAACAATTTGAATAATTTAAAAGAGTTTTAAGTGAATTATAAAAGTAGTAGGCATGAAAATTCAGTTATCACTATGCTATCTTATCAAGAAAATATCGATGCTAATCTTTTACAAAACGGTACAAATTCGGCAGTTTTATAATTCACTTCAAACTCTTAAATGATTCAAATTGTTGTGCTCTAAATGTACATTTTTTTAGCTATTTTCAAAAGTAGTTTCTTCATTTTTAATAACATTAATAAATTCAGACTTTAAATTATATTTTGGCACTTCCTCTTCAATGGTTTTTGTATTAAAATAAGGGTTTGCTTATCTTGCTGGGAAAAATCATGTGATAAATCGTATAAAAAATCATATGATTAATCATGCCAAAACATCATGTGATTTTTCTCATAATTTTTTTCAGCAGGGTAATTTATATCATAGAAAATTCATCAAAATGTATTTGAATGTATCGACCAAAAAAACCTTTGCAATGTAAAAAAACTGTGAAATGAGTTTTTATGCATACAAAAAAGATCCTCGACCAATTACCTAAATTTACGTTAATTTTGGCTAATTTTATCATTGGAAGGTTTCGCTTTACTCAACATGAATTTGAAGAAAAATCGGGTTAACGTACTTGTGATAGGGAACACCGGTTTCAGCATTCCAAGTGATAAGAGTACATCTTTGAGTTGATATGCCAAGTGTCTCGATTTGTGAAGCTTTTAAGCCGCTTTCTGGAGTGAAAAAAACGATCGAATTATTGATAGTCCGTAAATCGTTGAATAATGATTATGCAATATTTATGAAGTTGTTTACCTTTCAAGCTCTGTTGAACAACGCGTAGCACGGCATTCCATAACCAGTCGGGATCGATTTCCACGTAACCGGCCTGGGGGTACAACAGCTTCACCTGCAGTTAACGTTTTTTATAGGTTTCCGTGGTACAACTATTTTCGATATTTTACCGATGTTTTGTATTTAATTTTACCGATGTCGATGGGGGATTTTCATGATAATTTTAAGTGTAGTCAAAAATAGATGATCACAACTTTCTGAAGGTATTTCTTATTGATTAAACGATGATTCATATGAAATGAAAAAAATTAAAAATTAAAATTTTTTAATATTTGGAACAGGCTGAAACTTGTAAACTTTCGACTAAATATCCCCATTCCCTTTCACACACTCCCCCGCAAAACACAAGTAGTCTTAATCGATCGCTCGTACTCTACTCGTACCGCCACTAGTACGTGTTTCGTTTCCCCAGTAAACAGCGAAAGTGACGCACTTAAAACCCAGCGCCCAGAGTAACTAGACCGATAAAACCCCCGGGCAAAAATAGCGCGACGAACGACAATACACCTTTTCCGAGGCAGCTGCTACGGTTTGGCCCTTCTCGTCGAGTATGTGGCATCTTATGGTTGTCGTGCCGACGTCCAGGGCCGCGATGTATCTCATGATGCTGCTTTTGTGTGCCGTGTGTGCTCGTACACGACTCTGAATGAAGACTGAATTGCGCACGCCTCTTTCATCGCGTCGTTACACTTTTTATCGCTGCCGCTGCTGTTGTATGCATACACGAGTGTGTGCATGTACGTCGTAGTAGGCACTGCATGTGCGAATGAGGTTTATAGTCGCCAACAGACTGCATGGTATTTCATATATAGGAGCAAGACAACGAAAGATAATGACTCCGGGGGGAGGGGGAGCACATACGAGAGGGAGTTACGAAACTTCTACTTTGCGTTTAATTGATGCTTCTTCTTTTTTTATTGAAATTTTAGCAGAGTCATTTTGAGTTGCTTGATCAATGAAAGCGATATTACTCTTACAAAGATATATATTGGAATGTTGGTAATTGCAGAAATGAGAGCCAATTATTTCTAAATGTAACTAAATTAATTTATTAAAGCTTCATGACGTAAAGTCGTGGTCAATGAAGATACTATAGCATCTGTACACGTTTTAAACAATATGCAAAAGAACAATCAATATGGCATTTTATAGTTCGTAAGCTGTGTAAAGATTTTGTACTTCTTCGTCACTTTTTCCTTCTTTTGTTTTGCAAATTTCAAAAAGATTTTGCAAAGCTGAAATAAATAATGATAACATTACTTTTTGATATGCAATTAATACAAATAAAATTGTAGAGAGAATGTTATATGTACCTTCTTTTTCTGACTGCGTCATAAATAATACTAATGCTCTAAATCTCTTTATTTTTGATAAATAGAATAAAAATTCGTAGACTTTATCATTATTTGGTACAAACTTAGTATTTAAAACAATTATTATATCACTGAAAATATTTGATTCCATGGAATCTTTGAATATTTCTGGAAGATTTTTTGGAATAATCAACTGAAAAAAAATTAATCTTAGTTTCTATATAGCACACAAAATTGAGTAATGCACAAAGATGAAATCTTACCTTTAAATATTCGTATCTAAAATCGATCGATGTATTTTTTCTCCATGCAATAAGGAAAGAAATAGCTGTTTTCGGTACAACAAGTGTACTTTCAAGTGTGACATTGACTTCTGGAGGTTTTTCCATATTTTCAACGTTTAAAGTGACCTTAGTCCTTTCCATATTCTCAACGTTAGAAGTGATCTTAGTCTTTTCCATGTTAAAATTTTTCACTTCTTTAATCTGGGATTTATTCACATCTTTAATTTCTTCAATTATAGAAGAAGCTTTTGTATTATCAGTTTTCTTTACAGCAAGATCTTCTTCAATGTTGTTGACTCTTGGAACAGAATTTTTCTCAACATCTTTAAATATAGACTCATTTTCAGTCAATGCAGTAACAGGAATTCTTTGCATGGTCTAGAAAATATTTGCATTTTATTATTTGTGCAAAAAATGAAGAGTATTTTATTTTGTTTAATTGTAAAAACAAATTTTTCTTACTTGTTTTTTCTGCACTGGAGGTTTTACCAGAGGTTGAATTATTGAAACATCATCTCTGATTGGAGGAAGCCAAGGAGGAAATTCTTCATTTGAAGGTTCTTTTTGTTGCACACTGACTACACCTAGTCTGTTATCCTTAGGTGCCGTTTTATGTTCAAATGCTATGTGACCTTTCTTTTTTTCTACTGCCTCTTCACTTTTCTTTTCAGATGATTTTGAGCCAAATAGTTTTTGTCCGAATTTGTTTCCTATTTCTCTTTCTAAACTACTTGTTTTTTTCTCCCTTTCTTTAAGTACTTTTACTGCATCCTGCACAAAAAAAATTATAAATATATCATAAATTTATTGGTTTAATGTAAATACTCATTAATATGGACAAAATACCAACCATAGACTCTTTTTTAATTCTTTTATCTATGGTATCTCTCATTGCAACAGCATCTTTATTTGATGGATCCAACTCCAAAATCATTTGAACATCTTTTTTTGCATCTTCAAAATGACGAAGTTCAATTCTAGATAAAGCTCTTCTATGATAAGCCTTAACATATCTACTGTCAAGTTTTATTGCTTCAGTACAATCTGATACGGCAGAGTAAAAGCTAAAATCATATCATATAATAAAGCAAACATTAATAATATTTGTATACATATTTCATCATCAAAATAGATGAATAAAAAGAAAATTTACTAGATTGCATGTAATTTTTCAACTTTAGCAAAGTCAAAATTCATAAAAAGAAGATCGCATTGGTATTTTTTCTATCTCAAAATGTAACATTCTATTTTATTTTTTAATTTTCAGCAAAAAGTATGAACTTTTTATAATGAATCTACGATTTTACTTTTGATGGAATATCACAAAAAGAATATTTCAAAAACTTACTTTGTCAATTTTATTTGGCAGAGAGCTCTATTAGCATAGTAAGTAGCATCGCCACTAAATTTGGCAATCGCTTCATTGTATTTGCCAATAGCTTTTGCATATTGCTTCTGTAGTACAAGAGCATTTCCTTGTTCTTTCAGTTTAGTAGCTTCATTGTGATCTCTTTCTAATTCTTCAGGAGTTGGTATTTCATACATTTTTTCGGTGATGACATTTGACTTATCTTTTTCTTCAACTTCGTCACATGCTTTTTCCTAAAATATATCGATATGATTATGATGTTTTAGTGATGAAAACAATTTAGCAAAATATTATTGTTACTTACAACATCAAACTTGTCCCATGACGCATAGTCACCAGAGGCAATACGTTTAGCTTTTTTGGATTTTTCATGGTTACTGTCACTATTTGTTTCTTTGTTTTGTTGATCCTCTTCAGAAGGAACTGGCTTCTTTCTACATCTTATGGGTGGTAAAACCTTAAATAAAAATCAGCACTTTAATATCTCGATGACATGGCAAAATTACTACAAAAAAAACTTACCCTGTCATCTGTCATATTTCGAATGGCTAAGTCTTTCTTTTTCATCTGCTCTTCCCATGCCGCCAAATCGAGATATTCCTTTTGCAGATCTTCAGCATTATTTCTAACCTGTTTTTGCGTGAGTATTGACTTTGACACATCCATGTTTTCCTATTCAACAGAGACGATTAGAAAAAAAAATGGTGAAGAGGGTTGCAAAACCAGAAACAACTGTAAGTAAACAAACTTGTAATGTTACGGCGGGACTATAAGTGTAATGTGCGACTAATGTTACCCCGGTGATGAAGATCGATCAAAGGGACGTACGAAATTGTTCGTTCTAATAATTCACATGCGAACCGGTGTCAACCAGCTCATTGCCCAATGAAAAACAACAGTTGTCGAATTATAGAGATGTTGTCATCACAATGAAATTCTCACGAAACAATAAACTTTTTTAGTTCTCTCAAAATCGAGTGGAGTGAACTTGTAAGTGTAGCGATTCGAATTTTTTTTCAGCAGAATAATACACACGGAAACTCGGTCGGTACGCGAGATACACACGCGAATATTTTAGCACACAGATGTCGCGTCGCTATTGTTGAATCGCGAGTGCGCATAAAATAGACTTTGGCACACAAAGAAAAGAAGGTAAGTATTTAAGCTCTACTCAGAGTGGATCAGTCGATTCACGGAACTCGCGACGCGAGTACGGCATAGACCGTCGACAATTCTAGACGTAGCGCTTGCCGTAACAAGACGACTAGTCAAGAGATGGCGTTTTGTCTAGTCGTTTTTGCGAAATAAATTGAGACATCAATCGCAATTAGGAAATTCATGTTTTATTTTCTTTTTTCTTTATACTGTACAAATGAGTTAAATTTGCTCTTTTAAATGCAATGGATTCCATTGGAATAAATCATCGATCTCTTGTATGTCTGCAAATAATATCACAGATTAAAGCAAATAAATAAATCAAGTCCAATATTTGTTTCGAGCAAATGATTGAATAATTGTTTACCTCTTCCGCGACATCTCTCAAGTACTGTGCCGTTGAATTGCCAGTCTGTTGCACCATCTTGGCAAAGCATCCGTCGATCTTGTTCAGTAAAACAAACGGATGATCGTATTCCACTACTCGGCCATTATCCATCACCAGAATTTTGTCGTTGTCCATGATCGTGTTGAGCCTGTGGGCTATCGTCAACACGGTGCGATCGCGAAACTTGCTCCGGATGGTGCTCTGTATGAGCTCGTCCGTGGCCGGATCCACGGAGGCCGTCGCCTCGTCCAGCACGATGATGCGATTTTGACGCACTACCGCCCGAGCCAGACAGAGCAGTTGGCGCTGACCGGCGCTGAGATTGCCACCGCCCGGCTCGATCGACTGGTCCAGCGAGACGAAGAGCCGATTGAGCTCGACCGACTGCAGGGCCGACCAGAGCTCGGCGTCGTCGTGCTCGTCGAACGGATCGAGATTGGCGCGCAGCGTGGCCGAGAACAGCATCGGCTCCTGGGGGATGATCGAGATCCTCTTGCGAAGATCGGTAAGGCCGATTTTTGACGTGTCGAGGCCGTCGATCAGGATGCGGCCCTCGTACTCGGTCAGCCGGAAGATGGCCGATACGAGGGACGATTTGCCGGCGCCGGTGCGGCCGACTATGCCAACCTAAAATCAACGAGTTTATTTAATTTGATCGTTATCCTGCACAGAAGATTAATTACCTTCCATCCCGCCTCAACGATGAAATTCACATTTTTCAGCACAGGCTCGTTCTCCTTTCCGTACCTCAACCATACTTTGCTGAACTCCACGTCCCCGTTGGTCGGCCAATTTTTGCTCGGCTTGACGATCTCGTGCTTCCGATCAGTTCCCTCCTGCTCGAGCTCGGTGAACTGCACGACCCTCTCGACGTTGGTCATCTGCGTCATCACGTCGGTCGACTGTCTGATGCCGAACTGCAGCATGCCGTTGAGAATGAAGATCTGGGACAGGGCCAGGCCGACGTTGCCCGCGTTGGTGCTACCCCGGCCGATGTACACGAAGCCGTAGGTGATCAGGCCGATGAAGACGAGCAGCACGAGCTCGATCCAGAGGCCGAAGGCCCGCGAGGTGGCCAGAGTGAGATAGTAAGCCGACGTGTGGTGGTCCTGGTGGGCGTCGAAGTCGCGGACGACGATTTTCTCGGCGCCGCACGAGCGAATGGTCGACAGGCCCGACAGGCAGGCGTCCACGTGAGAGAATACCGGACTTTTTGCTACGTGCGTATAATATGTCAATTTCAGGCGTGGGAAAAAATATAATAACTTCGGAATTTTAGTGTCTTGAGAACGATATTACCTACACCCTCCAATCTTTTGATATTCTGAGCGGTAGCCAGGTAAAAGACTATCATTCTATAGAACAAATAAGCCATCAAAAGCATGAGAAATATCGTCCACCATTTGATTAGGAACACTTGAGTTATCACACCGATCATGAAAACGTAAACTTGCAACCCATCGAGCATAGTCACCGGTAACAGTTCGTCCAGCACATTAATGTCGTTGAAAAATCGGTTCATTATTCGACCTAAAAATCGAAATATCGGAGGATCAAAAATTTCTGAAAGAAAAAAAAGTCATCACTTCGAGAAACAAAAATTGTGTCACCGGAAGGATTTCGATCGAAAAATTGCATCGGCGCTTTGAGCAGTCTCAGCAGCATTCTGTCGTGCAGATTTCGGCTGGCTTTCATGAATCTCTGGCAGAACCATATGTTACGGGTAACGAGAGTGACGACGCACGCGAGCGTCAGAATACTGTAAATGTACAACGATGTCATGGAGCGACTGTTTTCTGTGATGACGTATTTTTCATGGTTGGTCCGATTGTTGATCGCTTGCGGCGCGTTCGGGTTACAACCGTGAATATCACTGGAATTCAGTGTCTGCTCTTCCTCCTGCCTTACCCTGTGAAACGGATGCGATAAACATTTTTCATTCAATGGGCGAACTATTAATTTTAAAGATTTTCATGTACCAATAAGCGAGCCAATAATCGCAAGCACTGGTGGCAAGCTGACCCAACAAAAAGTAAATGGCGAGTAAAAATAAGACAAAGTACGATCCTCCAGCTCGACAATACTTTGTATAAAGCGATTTGGACAGTTTGCCTTTAGCTATGAATTCCTCTGTCTCTTTTGGCTCGGCCTTTTCGTCCTCGTCTTTGGAGTCCAGAGTCGTATCACCGATCGTCAGCTGCTCTTCGTCCTGAAGCTGCTCTTGTTTTTCCAAAGATGGCAACGACTCGATCTCATCGTTTGAAGGAATAAGATGAAGATACTTTCCGTCTTTTTTCAAATCGTCGTAAGTCCCTTGATACTCGACGTGACCCTATTAAAAGCGAATCGTTTAATAAACAAAGTACAATAAATCATAATTTTTTTTACCTTACATTATTTAGTAGAACGATTATGTCGGCCTCTTGCAAGTGCCGATTGCTATGAGTGGCTAATATTCTCGTCTTATCCTTCAAAAACCCATTTATGCAGTCCTTGAATATACTTTCGGCAACTTGTCCGTCCAGCGAAGACATGGGATCGTCGAACACGTAGACGTCGGCGTTTCGATAAACAGCTCTGCGAGGCAAGAAATAAAATCACATACGTGTCAACACTCGCAGCAGATCAGAATACGCAACTAAATTAACCCCGTAATTGTATACCTCGCGAGATTGATCCTGGCCTTCTGTCCGCCGCTGAGGCCGGCCCCTCGGTCGCCCAGCAGCGTCTTGTCGCCGCTCGGCAGCTGCTGAAAGTCTTTGTGGAGCGCGCAGACCTCGACCACCCTTTGATAACGGCGCGCCTCGTACGGCTCGCCGAAGAGGATATTATTACGCGCCGTGCCAGCAAAGAGCCAGGGCTCGTGCGAGGCGTACGACAGGCTGCCCGCCCGATGCAGCTCGCCGCCCGTGCCGATGCGCAGCTCGCCGAGAATCAGCTTTGTGAACGAGCTCTGTTTACATACGCACGATATAAAATTGCATGATTGCATACAGGAAGATCGCCTTTGAGATTTATTTTTGTATATTGTGTACGCTTTTGCTCTGTATTTTATATACCTACCTTGCCCGAGCCCACTGGCCCGGTGACGGCGAAGAGCGTCCCTCTGGGCACGACCAAGTTCAAATCGGTCAGAGTCGGAGTCACGGGCTTTTCCGACCACGAGGCGTTGACCTTCTTCATTACGATCGCGTCATTACTGTCGATCTTAATCATCGTGGATTTGCTCGTCAAAGATTTCGCCTCGTCTTGTAGCAAAAATTTCTGGAAGACAATCGCCCGTGTTATAATATAGTTATTCAAAAATATCTCACTCGCTCGCGATTAATCATATTCAGTACAACCATGATGTACTATTATTCTAAGAATGTGCTTATAGCATACAATATTAAATATGTTTACATTAAAATTAATGTAATAATAGAAAGGTTTTTCCCTCTACGTAGATGAATTCAGTTTCATGAAAAAGCATTAAAACTGATGCGATTTAATAGAAATTAAAGATTTTTTAAAATAAATCGTAACAACACAAGTTAAGGCAAAACTTCTATAATTTATTATCGTTAAAGCTGGTACTGAGAAATGAACCTAATTACGTCACATCAATAACAAACAACGCTGATGATTTTCAAAAATCAGCATTGATGTTCAAACATTTCTACAATTAAAGAGAGATTAATGCCGTCTAGATATCTATACTAATAAATTCCTTTCAAAACCTCTTACTTATATAAAATTATTTTTACTGTGTCACTTGCAGATTTACAAATGAAAGTACTCGCCTTCTAGAGCTGAATGTTGGCTTGCTGAATTTATGATTAAATTTTCATGAATTCACCAATTTCATTAATTCAAAGTAAAGAATGCAAGTTCACATTTAATGTATTTTTAATTTTGCATTTTACTTTTTGTCCATTGGCAAAAGAATAAATTAGTACTGATGCATTAATTTTCAACGAAGATTCGATGTAAAAGCACTTCTGACAAAATGCAATATCGGTTACTATCATTTTAATGTCCGTTTTCACATTACATCTGCATTGAATTTAAGGTTTTTTGTTTTAATTTAACAGTGTATAGCTACCTCGATACGGCGCAAGGAGACGCGAACTTCGGCCGCGGTGTCGATGGCCAGCGGAAAATAATTAGCCGCCGTGATCTGCAGCATGTTGAAGTACTGAAACATGGCGAAGACCTTTTCGGCGCTGATCGGGTAGCCCTGTAGCACGTAGGCCAGCAGCGTGAAGTACATTGTGGTGCGCTCGGTGAAAAAGTGCCCGGCCAATTTGGCCCCGCGCAAGTACGCAGTAACTGTAAATATATTGATTTCTCGCCTGATTTACACCCACCAAAAAAAATCACAGTGGGTAAAGAGAAAAAACACAATTCGTGATTAAAAAAATTTGATCAATCGTTGGACGATCGCTCGATCTTTGCAGTAAATATAATTAGAACTTGATTAATTAATGTTTGGTCCGTACTTCCTGGTCTGGGCGATGAGACGCTCGAACAGCGGCTCCCAGGTGTACATCTTGAGGACGCGCATGCCGTGCACGAGCTCGCTCATGAGCAGCGTCCGCGTGTCCGTGCGCGCCGCCACTTTGGCCCGCAGGTATGATATAAGCTTACCGCAGCAGGCTATGGAAACGAAGAAAAGAGAAGCCACGGGTAAGAGTCGTACTTCATAATATACAACGTGTATTATATGTGTTTGAAAGGATAAAAAGAGATAATGTTTGCGGATACGAGGATCGAATTTCAGAGAAAATCTCTCCGAGAGTGTCAACCACCCGACTTTACGTAATCCACGTGAAGTACAGTACTAGTAGGCGAGCGGTTACGTAATCGTAAGACGTAAAGTTTCCATCATTAGATGATCTTACCCTGCAAGGGGATCGTCTGCACTATCAGAACGCATATTCCAATTATCGAGGCGTAGCCCACGCTCATCCAGATCAGGTACGTGATGGCGGCGAGCTGCAGCGGCATGATCCAGATGTAGTGGAGAAATATCGAGGTGCGCTCGAATTTCGCCACGTCGTTCGACAGCAGATTGATGACCAGTCCACCGGTCGACTGATTGGCCAGCGAGGACGATAATTTTGTCAGCTACGCACGTTTAAATGTAATAAAATTCAAAGGGTCAGCAAAAAAGAAGGATCGATCGTTTGTGTAACATACTTTTCTGAATATCAACGACGAGCAGGCGATCCTCGCTCGCATACCGATCTCGGATTGGTCCAGGAAGGCATGGCGCTCGATCAAGACCTGCATGAGTATTATCAAAATGATGCCCGATGCCAGGGTGTAAGCGTACGATTCCGTGGTCGTCGAGCATTGATGAAAGTGTCGAATCAGGGCTCCCAATGTCAGTGGTAACAAGATTCTGCGAAATTTGTGCTCGATTTAGTACTTTTACGTACACACCAATAAAAAAAGACGAGGTTTTTTTTCTCACAACGCTCACCTCAGTACGAGATTTAAAACGAAGAGATTTATCCCTTGCAGCAGATATTTCAAGCCGAAGGTCTTCCATAGTGCTATCAATAAACTTGGCTTCTTGCCTGTTTTCAAAAAATTATCAACCTGATGCTTCCAGTGCCTGTATAGAGTAGAAAACAGAAAAAATAAGGTGGGGAAAAAATTACACACGCGCCGAGGCTAATTGCCGACGAGATAATGCGACGCATGCACAATTGCAAGCTCGTAAAAATACTTATCTCTCTCTCTCTCTCTTCGTCTCGCGTTTTTTTTTAACAGTAGCACGCAAGCATGCGGCGCTAATGTTATTAACAAATACGAGCGTTGACTCAAAGGCTTACCTTTCGAGTTCTTTGCCAAGGGGCTCGCTGAGGTCGTTGGGCACGGTGTCGTAAAGATCTTTGGTCTGGATCTGATGATTGCTTCCGTACCAAAATAAATTCGTCAACCAGCTTCTTGGCCGCGAGTTTTATGGAAAAAGAGATCATCATTAATATGAAATTTTTACGCAAGACCTTGGAGTGCGGACACATTTCTGATAATTACTGCTACTTTTACACGCGCGTCGATCATTTGTTTCTTTTTCGATGATACCCATTATAAATTATACACGAGTTTTTCCATGAAACGCACGTCAAAGTCTGTGGGCGTGTAAAAATATTATTCACCGCAACACTTACCAGAAAGTTAATCTGCTGAAGACGTTGGCCGTGAGCCGAGGGTTTGGATTGTCATGTTTTTCTCGTATTTCGAGCATCGCACTCTTTTCGGGGGGATTTTCGAACGAATTTAACAATTATATGTCTCCGAACGGCAAGAATGTATCGAAACAATGCTAAACTGGCGAACTAGCCAAATATCGCGCAGCGAACGCGGCGGAGCAGGTGCAGCTCGCGGGGCACTTTATATACTCATAGCCACGCGCATATAATACGGTTGTATTTCGCGCGCGTTTATCAGGCGCTGCGTACGAAATATATATCTGCCTGCTGCTGAACCTCTGCCGCTAGACGTCCGCTGCACGCGACAGACAAAGACCGCAGCAGCAACAGCGGCGGCAACAAACTGTGCTAATCAAATAAATTTTATATAAGCGTGGCGCGCGCATTGAAGTCGGCACCTGCATAAGCACGCACATATGTGTGTGCATTATATATGTGGATGGCAGGTCTACGCGCGTCATGTGATATGCACTCGGCAACTACTTATAATGCGCGTGCGAGCGCGATAAAATATCGTGTCTGTCTATACCCACCAAGTCGATGACGGGGACGGTGGTGGTGGCAAAGAACTGCAGCGGCGGGTGTCGAACGAAAAAATGATCAATTATTACGAATCGCGTCGCAATCGTTGTCGCACGTATGGGTGGAAGATGAAAAAATCGGGGAGAGGCGGTAAATTCGATCGTCTTGATTAATGCGCGAAAAATCAGTGGAAAATCCATAAAACTCAACTAATCGCGAGCGCTTGCGTATTCCTAAAACTATGCGAAATATCCGATCGATCTCTGTTGTCGTTTCGAGCTTTTTATAAAAAATATCGCACTATTCACAATAAAAGCTTGTCTATATCCAAGTCTAGCAGTGATTCAAATGAGTGATGCAACGGATCGACGCGATATCAAGGATAATGGCGTAAGATAACCGGGCATGCATTATCTGCGAAAAAAAGCTCGACGGTCTTTCTGCAAATACAGACACCATATCGTGGTATCTTGGAAAACGATAATAAACTTTGCGACGCGCGAACTTTACGAATTTGCGATACATTGTACTTGTATAGTATTTGAGCGCGCCCGATAAAGCCGATATAGTATAATAAACTTTTCTTTTTCTTCTTTTTTTTCTGTCATCGTCGCATAGATCAATCTTCGCTCGCTGAGATCTCGAGTGGCGAAGTGAGTATATAATGGCAGTGGACGTGAATCAGCATTTATTTATTTTCTTCTTTCACCGAGAGACTTAATGTATTGGTTTTTCGCCTTTCTTCAATCGCGCTGCGCTCCGCTTTTATTACATACGGATCGTTATACGTATAAATATAGTTTCGTATGTGTGGCCCGCGAGACGACGCGCCGAGAGTTTAAAACTTTAAAGTGCATATACGCACGAGTTATATGAACTCTCTCGGAGAGATCGTCAAAAGCCAAATAAGTATGAAGATCAGTCGCGGGGCAGTCCCATCGGTGCATCGTAAATCACCCGAAAATTTCGTCATATAGTACAAAAGCTAGCTCGCGAGCGAGCTAATGCATACAAACAGCACAGATATGTTATTATATATTTTATATAGATGCAACAACTAAAAACTACGCGCGCGTAGATGAACGTTTTACCTGAGCTTGACATTCGAGGCTTTCTTAGATTTTTGGTCGGCTGCCCAGTGGAGTGCCTACGCACGGCATGTACACATACACACACATTCTAGCGCTCGATTGCATTTTAGAAGATAGTAGCTCCGCGTATACTATGTATGTAACGTCATTATGTTGTCAACTCCGAAACTGGCGGGGGGCCGTTTTTATCCATTTTACCCCTCGACTCGAGCTTGAAATCGCCTCGACGACGATGTGCATCTTCGTATAACGAGTTCGCTCTGCGCTGGAATATACAGTATGCGATGCTTCGGAAAACTTATAAACATCTCGTTTATTTTAAACATTTTTCATCGATCGGCCCCCCGGACGAAATATAAACCAATGACTCACGTGATGGTTATTCCTAAATCTAATACATACACACGCACAAACGACTGCCGAGATTTCGAAAATTTTTTGTGTGCTTTCAGTAAATGGGTCGAACCACACGCAGCAATACTCGCGACCGATTTTTTTTCTTCTTCTCTTTTTAATTAATATGTGTAAGATGAAGATCCAATTTTTTTTAAAGGCAGCTTGGGTGCCGTGTCATTATATTGCTGTGTCTACCGTTGCGAGCGAGCGCGAAGTTGACCCCGCGCGCTCACTCACTCGCGCACCACCAGCACGGCTATCATGATACCAGCAGATTAATCATGCGAGTCGACCAAGTAGGCCGTCCGCCGACACCGCGAGTTAGAGAGAGAAAGAGAAGTTCCCAGCGAGCAAAGAAAAATTTTATTTTTTTCATTTTACAAGATACAAACAACAATAAAGTCCAAGTTTGGTTCGGGTGGAAATACGAACCGAGAATATATGGTAAATGTTTCAGAGAACGTATTTTTCTGCTGCAGGTCGCCGCCACACGCTCTCTTTCTTCTCTAATTTACACGCTCTCGCACAAGCTCTCTGAGGTGTGTATATAAGCTCGAGACTCGCCGCGAACGTGTGCGTGTCTGTGTGTATGTGTGTACAAGTATATATGTGTGTTGCGTGTGTGAGAAGGAGAAAGAGCTTTCGAGTCTTCGGTGCCTCGCGGCTCGCGTCAAGACAGACCGCCGAGAGCTTTAGTTATTTGCCAACGATCAGCCAGAGTGAATGTAACCCTCCACCGAAGATATTTAGTCTTCGGCACTTTTGTCTTTTCTCTCGATCTCTGAGCTGCGTCTTCGTCGTCGTCGTCTTCCTTCTTCTTCGTCGTCATTCATTTTCCTCGTATTTTCGGAGATTATTCGCAGCCGAGTGTGTACGTGATATAATCGAGGCGAAAGCTCCGCGGCAGATAGCTGCCGCTGCTCCAGCACGTGCCCGATTTATGCTGCAACAAGTGCGTGCTTGTGACAGGAAAAAATAACTTCTTTAAAAAGTGCAGTTGGTTGTTCTTTTTTTTCCTGATAATTGTGTGCTACGACAAAGAGTGACAAAATGAACCAGTTGTCTCGGAGTGGCCGCAGTGCCGCCTTCTGACGAAACGCAACGAAGCGGTTATTTCTCGTTAGCGAATGCCAACGATATGTTTGGATTCGCACCTGCTGCTGTTGCTACCGATACCGACGTAACAATTCTGGAAGAGGAATATCATGTCATTGTTATAGACCAAGTTGAACATTTTTTACCCTTAGGTACGTTGCGAGTAGCTTTTTTATTATATTTTTGTTTTATTTTTTTTAACGATTTTTTAAATCTACTTCGTGCGACATAAAAATTAAATGGAAAATAAACGCCTGCACCTTTATAAACTCGGTATACATCAGTTTCCGTGCATATCGCTAATCTTATCGAGTAGACCGAATAATAATTTACTCGATGTAACGCGCAGCGCGCCATGAAGTCGATAAAAATCCTATTAAAATTTTCTCCTTGGTTTGAAAAGAAAAATATAAAAGAGAAAAAATTGAGAGAAAAAGGCGTGATAAAAATGAAAAATTATTATTTATTCATAAACTTCCACGTAAACAATCTCTCTCTTTTTCTCTGTCCCTCTGTCGAAACACTCCCCGCGATAGGATAAACAAAGATCTATATTTATAGTAAAAGGCTGAAAAATTGAATGACAGCATCGCGAAATATGGAAATTAAGGTTAACGCACGTGAGAGCTAGAGAGAAAGAGTGCGAAGATCGATTCTCGCTCCCGAAACGTAATAGGTTTCGCGCGCGCAACGATTGTATACATTATAATGTTAAAGTCTCGACTGCTTCGGTGAGTGCCGATGATCATGTCGATGATACGCGTTGAAACTATAAAGCTCGCCGCGACGCTCGAGGCTCTCGATGACTTGAGCTATTTGTTTTTCGCGCTGGAACGAAAGAGAAAGAGAGCTCGCAGACGAGTTTGCTTCAAGCTCTAAAATTAAAAATGTTCTATCGAGATTCGCGAGGCGAGAGAGAGAGAGAGAGAGAGAGAGAGAGAGAGAGAGAGAGAGAGAGAGTGAAGAGACGAGCTTTCAAGCGTATTGGTGATCGTTTTTTTTACTTTCGAATTAATAGACGAAAAAAAAGTGCAGGTGTATACGCGATCGAGCGCGCTCGAGAACTGAACGCGTGAGAGCTTATACTGTATACGAGCTAATTCTTCGAGCATGCAAATTCGCGTGTTAAGAGCATCAGATCGTGCGCGCCGCTAGCTTTTTACGCGAGCTTGACAGCCCTTAAGCGACCGAGGTATAGTGCTGCACATAGTAGTGGGTTGTACGCAATTGAGCTTAGGTTTTTCTTTTTATCGTATTTTAAAGCTTACACTGTTCAATTAAATGTAAAATTAGATACCAGATTGAAAGTAAACGTTACTGAATTTTATTTAAAGTACGAGTGCTGTAACGAGTTTCGATAAAAGAACCATATTTGCACCAGATGATTTATTCACACGAAAGCCTGAATTTAGCAGCAAAGTTGTGTATTCCATTCGAGTGGGAAAAAACGATCAACTCTATACTCAAATATGCTTTAAACAACTGTTATTATTTAGGTATAATTAAAACTTGCATTCACCACTAGATGGCGTGTACCTTTATGTGCAAATCCACAAGTAGCAAAGTAAAAATAATGATATATGTCAAATCACGGGATCACCTGAAAAATAAATCTTTGGACTATTGTAAGATTTTTTCCAACGATGGATGCTCAATTGAATTTTTCTTATTGGCATATTATTAGCTATTAAAATTCCATCTTAAAAATGTATCGTTCCAAGTGATAATTGAAACTGAAATTACAGAATTGTATAAAATTCTTGCTGAAGTTCCTCCAGTCTTGCCTTCAAGTAACTGCCCTAGAACTGCATCTTCGCGGTTTCAGAATGGTTAAAAATTGGTATGAATTTTGGGAATTAAAAATAAATGAAACCAAATCTATACATACTACCGTCACTCTACGAAAAGATAAGCACTAAAGTGTGCACTTAAATGAAGTTAACTCATGTCAGAATAGCGAAGTAAAATATTTAGGGATTCTTCTAGATCAACATCTTATTTTCAAATTTCACATGGACCGACTGGAAACAATTAAACTAGAAAATTCGATCACAATTAAAGTCAGTCTTCACCACTAGATGTCGAGTACCTTCATTTATAAATTGTAAATTTGCAAGTGATAAAGTAAAACAAATTGCATAAGTCAAATCCCGATTTTCTGTTTACTTATATGTCGTTTTTTATTGTTGTCTGTTGACTATTGTTCTGTCGTCTATTGAATTGTAATTAGTATTCATAAGCGATCAATACTTTTAAGGCAAAAACATCATGGGATATTGTAAGATTCCGAAACGAAACACAAAAACCTATATTAATTAGTAAAAATATTTAATTTCATAATATTTCTAAAAGTAAATAGGAGTGTGATACTCAGTGGATCTCATAATATCATCTTACACATTATTTTTGATTATTTGTGTAATATTTATACCATTTGTCTACATGTTCTAAACAGATTGTAAATAAAAAAAGGTTTTACATTAATCTAAATGAAAATATTTTTAACGGTTTACTTACATATTATAAGCTCTCAGCAAGCTTAACGTTTTTGTTCGTCGTTCAATAAAAAAAATAAATAAAACTACGCACTCAACTGGCGATTGTCGCGACGATTTAATTATAAAGAAAAAAAATTTGTTCCGCTGGAATTGGACTGTCAATATTTTGTGCAATATTTTGTTTTTTTTCCGTCGCGGAAGAATGTCAATTTTCGTGTTGTTTGTAGCCGAACGTGCTCCGACGACGAAGACGATCGCCGAGACGAAGCCCCGCCATCCAGCGCTCGCAATATTTACGGATCGAAATATATTTTTGAAAAACATGGCTTCGTTAACAACGCAATAAATCATCTAGGTTTTACAAGAGAAACGCATATCGACAAAAAAGTCTCTCTCGCGCGCGCGTCGCTGCGCAGGCACGAATTATTTTGAAACTTCTACGGAACTACCAATTACGCGCGACTGCACGCTGCCGTATATCTTCGAAATCGATATCGTTCGAATTGCTCAATCCTATAGACCTTTTGAGGCGAGATATCATCGATATTTGCGGTAACTTGTACAATTACCGTAATACGCAAATAATCGACACCCTCCGCTTCCTCCCCTGCACGCGCATATTAACATTTATCTATGCTCTCGCGGGGACCTCAAAGACTACTCTACTAGCGAACGTGTCTCTGTGTGTCGCCTGCGGGCACGTGTACCAGTGTAAATTTAACTCTGTGCCCGCGTTGGTATATATACAATGGATAGAGCGCGAAAGAGAGAGAGAGAGAGAGTGAGAGTCATCTCGGCCTTCCACCAAAATTAAAACGGCCGGTATTAGTGTGCGTGCAGCGTGAGTCGCGCGCCTGCATTTGTGTCTGCGAACCGTCTCGTCCGCGAGTATCGAAAAATTACTTCGCTCAATAATTTCTAATAATGCTCGACTGGTGCAAAAATGCATCGACACGTTTGACATACGGTTTATCGCTCGGCGCAATACACATCGTGAACGTAATCGCCGATAAAAATGTATGCAGTTTTTTTCAAGCTCGCACACGCACGCATTCGCTTTTTTTGCCTCTATTATGTGACGCTCGGGCGTGCGAACCTCAAGAGCAGCTTGCTCGCGGTGTGTATTCTCGGGGCACGAGGGATTAATACATATAATCTAGATTACAAGATTTGACGTCGAATTTAGATCTTACGAGCTAAACCACTAAATTAGTGTCCACTCGTACCATTTAATACAGTTTTAAATTACACTAATTAGCAAAAAAAATTACACAATCATCGTTATGGTCAAATAGCGCCGACGTGAAGTGTATAAATAACGACGCGAAATAGATTATTCCATTTTCCGATCTTATTTATCATCTATTAATAATCGGCGGACGGCTCAAAGTGCCGCGCGCGGCGCAGCGCATTTATTACTCTCGAATTTCCTCCCTCTCGTATATATAATATAATGACGACAACGACGACGGTTTGTGACTTCGTTAAAATTAAGCGAGAGTGAGATCGTTTACCTTTCGATCGCGCGCACTCACACTGGCCGATGGAAAAAACAAATCATCATAATGCGAAGCGAAAAATTATTTTCGGCTTATTGGAGCGCAACGAGGCCGATCGACACACACACATGCGTCGTCCGATGATGCGAATTCGATACTTTTGCACGCGCGTCCGTTTTGTCCACGTCGTAATCGGAGCTACTTTGCGTAAACCTGCGCGCGAAAATAAAAAGAGAACAGCTATAAATCGATAAGCAATTAAGCTCGTGCCGAAGCGCTAAATAGGCCTCTTCAAGCTAGGCTGCGTTTGTCTCATTTAGAAGACTAAATAAATCAATGATACACGCGCGCGAGCTCCAAAATGCTCGTGTATTCAGTTTTTCCAAAAGTCTTTTCTCGGGGGTCTGTCTCTCGTAAAACGTTACACCTAAGATTAATCACTCTCCGTTATATATACTAACGATTGCGTTACTCCGTCAAAGATAATCATCATCGTTTTCTCGTCTCTCTCTCTCTCTCTCTCGCGCTGTAGGCACGAGCAAACCGCGCGAGCGAGTGCCTCTAAACACATGTAGGTCTCGACAATAATGGCTATCAAGCTTTTTGCACTCCATATAACACAGTTACTTTTGAAATATTCAGGTCTAGCGCGCGATGTACAAATTACCTACCCCGCACACATCTGTGTATGTGTGCTATAAGTCGCGGAGGGTGCATGCATGTGCATTGTGCATATAGTCTGCGGCCGCTTATATACTCGCGGGCGAAGATTCGTCCGATATAAAGTTCGCCCTTGTTATGAATCATTGGGCGAAAATAGGTAGTCCATACGCTGCCGCTGCTGCTGCTTCGTCGGTAACGGCCCCGACTGACGATTAGCCTCCGCGCCCCCGAGACGAGTGATTTAAAACGATGCAGCGCGCGGAGAAAAAGTTGTTACACGTACAAACTAGCTGTATGAAGCTATATAGCTTCGCGTACGAGCTCATAGCTATACATAAGCATTCGAATGCTAATTTTCTTTTACGAGCTCGCGCGAGAGCGATACTCATGTAGAGGAAAGAAAAAGCAAAAAAAAAGAGAAATAGATTAAATAGTATGTGTTTACGGCAAAAAGAATGTTGAATATATGCGTGGGTGTGTATTTTTTATTTTTTGCATGTGGAAATAACGAGCAGTTGGAGAAGCGACGAGCTGTAGTCCAGCAGCGACGATCATGCGGATCAACGCACGCCCAACGATCGTACCCGAGGCCAATAATAACAATAATAATTGACTGCGAGGAGAAGAAGAAGCAAAAAAAGGATCGATCGATCGTATAAGATAAGATGACGGTGTCGTATCAGTACGAGGTCGCGAGCTCGACGAGCGGCGGCTTCACGCGGCTGCTGTTCAAGTGGCGCGGCTCCCTCTACAAGCTCATCTATCGCGAGGTCGCCCTCTTCGTCATCATCTTCGACCTGATCTCGGCCATCTACAGGCAGGTGATGACGCCCGGCCAGAGGCGCAACTTCGAGCACGTCGTCGTCTACTGCGACACCTTCATCAATCTCATACCGCTGAGCTTCGTACTCGGCTTCTACGTGGCCTACGTCGCCGGCAGATGGTGGCAGCAGTACAACGCACTGCCCTGGCCCGACAAGTAGGTGCTTTCACGACGATGCAGGTCGAATTTTTCGTTCGCGCCCGCGCAGAGACGATTGTATGAACGTAATTAAGCTCGTTTGTCGCAGGTCCATGCACGTGATCGCGCTGTACGTCGAGGGCACGGACGATTACGCGCGAATGACGAGGAGGTCGCTCATGAGGTATCTCAATCTGTCGCTCATACTCGTTTTGAGATCCATCAGCTCGGCCGTCAAGAGGCGCTTCCCGACCCTCGACCACGTCGTTAGTGCTGGTAACTTTTATCAATTGTATATTTACCGGTTAAACGATTATAATTCGTCTCTCGTAACGCACTCGATTCTTTCGTTTCAGGTTTCATGACGCACACCGAGCTGCAGCTGTTCCAGTCAGTTCCGAATTCCGAATTCAATACCTACTGGATCCCCTGCACCTGGTACATACACCTGCTCAAGGAGGCTCGAGCCCACAATCGCATCCCCGACTCGCAGGGACTGAAGATGATCGTCGAGGAGTTCAATGACTTCCGGGCCAAGTGCGGCCTGCTCTGGAGCTTCGACTGGGTCTCGATACCTCTGGTCTATACGCAGGTCGTCACCCTCGCGACCTACAGCTTCTTCGCGGTGGCCCTGATCGGCCGCCAGTACATCGACTCCCAAGTCGTGATGAAGCCCTTCCAGATCAAGATCGACGTCTACTTTCCCTGCTTCACCATTCTGCAGTTCTTCTTTTTCATGGGACTGCTCAAGGTGGCCGAGCAGCTCATCAATCCGTTCGGCGACGACGACGAGGATTTCGAGCTCAATTGGCTGATCGATCGTCACATCAAGGTGTCGCATAAATTACAAGTTCAATTATCAGTTGGTCGGCATTGTACTAATATTCCGATACTTAATTCAGGTATCCTATTTGGGTGTCGATACGTTGATGGATCGCTGCCCTTCATTGGTCAAGGATATGTTCTTCAATGAGCCAAATATACAGTTACCCTACACCGAGGCCGCGGCAGGCTATAAACGCCAAACCTATCGCGGTAGTGTAGCCAACATGACGTGAGTACATTATTGCCGATTTTCTTACTTTTTTACTCATTCTTTATTCTTACTTTTAAAATTTTTTACCTTCACACTTCGATACTAATTAATTTTCATAGCGTCAAAGTGCACACTATCACATGACCAAGTTTTGTCAGAAAATGATTCATTTCTTTTTTGATAATCAGAGAATATATAAGGTAGGACGTGCGTATATCTTTAGTACTCTTGTTATCTGCTTCGCAGTGTACCCGAAGAAAAACAGACGATGTTTTTGCCTAATATTATAGAAGAGGAGGAGAGCTTGAGTTCGGCTACTCCGCGCACCTCTAGTGCCAATTTAGCCGCCCAGAACGACAGCCCGACGACCGAGGGACGGTAGGATTACTTTATGATAATATAGCAACGCACGTATATCGAGTGCATGTTTTCTTATCATCGATGTATTTTACAGTGACGCATGCACATGGAGCTGGCACGGCAATTTTTTTATATTACAATGAATAATAATGTTACGTTCTTTGCTTTATCGCACGGCTATAGAAATTCCCTTTTACACTGTGTCTCTTAACTATCTTTGTGTGTTGCTTCTTCATAAATTATTATTGCGTGTATATGTGGGGCGAAAAAAAATGTGAAGAAGCTCTTAACGAAGGACCCGTTTGTTCCAGCCAGGGTGGCGGCGACTCCCCTGAAGTTCATCGCGAATCGCTCGGTAGCATTGGCGAAACGAGCCTATCACTGGACATGGAGATGCTCGAGGCCGCTGCAGCTGTGGTTGCAGCAGCTGCGGCTCAGGATCAACAAGCGGCTGCAGCACCGGGCCCGAGATTGGCCAACGGAGCAGGAGGAGGAGGAGGAGGAGGTGGTCGCACAAACGGTGGCGGCGGCGGGAGTCTACTCTCCGAAGCCGTGAGGATCTTCAAGAGATCGGTAACGCCGAAGCCGCAGCAGCATCAGCAAGGCAGGCCGTTTTACGCGGCGGCCCAGTCGACCGCGGAAACACTGCAGCCCTGGCCGAGCGCCACGAATCTGCAGCAGCAGCAGAGCTCCTCCGACCAGCAGCAAGCCTCCCCCCAGCCGAACTTCCAGCGACCGATCACTCTTCGGTACTGCGGCGAGGCCAATAAGCTGCAGCACGCGAGATCGTTCAACGTGCCGAGGATCAGCGTGAGACAGGCGTCGATCGATCGCAGCTGCAGCAGCATACTCGGAGGAGATCGAGCCGGAAACGGCAACGTGTGCATCGATATCGAGGCTCTCGAGTCGGCGAACGCAGCGAGACAGAGTCCGAAGTCAGTGCATGAACCATATAAAATATTACAGAATCCGCAAGGATTAATTTTTGATTGGTAAACGTTTATTATTTTTAGAGTAAATTTCAACAAGCCTCGAAGCCACTCGGTCTGCCACGGTACTCTGTTCCAACGTCAGCACAGCATCCCCGAGGAATCCGCATCTTCCATCGACTTTTCCATGTCGAACCCCAGCGCGAGCAGCTGCAATCTCTTCGTCGAGCCGATCGGCGAGTCGTCGGCTGCCTCGATCTCGTCGACGTCCACAGCCGCCGGTCGACGAACGAATCTCATGCGACGACCCCACGTCAGTCGCTTTCTAGACTATCCCAAGTACCTACTGAGCAAAAACCATCGCAAGAGTCGCAAAACGGTGCCGGCGCTTCCCCCCCTGGCGACCATTTCCAAATCCGTCGAGGCGGACTTCGACGACGACGACGACGACGATCATCGATGCGGTGGAATCACGAATCTCGCCATGTCCAAGAGTTCGCCGGAAATGAGGATCGACCTCGTGACGAGCAGCAGCGGCGCTGGCGCGAGCGGCTCTCGTAAACGTAGCTCCAGCAGGGCGACTTTTTACCCTGGAATTCCGAGCGACAGCGACAGCGACGACGACCACCACCACGATAACGATCGAGACAAGACGCACAAAAGATCTTGATTGTTTCTGGGTAGGGACGTAACCGTTTCGACGCGACGATTATAATTATTATTATTATATACCCTTTGTACAAAATATATTGATATAGCCTTAATCATGGATAAGCAAATGAATATTTTTAGATATGTTTTTCCAATGAATATATATAATGTATACGTACTGATGACGATAATTTTGAGTAAGAAGAAGAAAAAAAACTATTACAATGTTACCTTTTTATTTGAATAAGAACTGATTGTTATGTGAACATTTGTTAATGTCAATAAGCTGTTAAAAATGTGAATTATACATTGCATATACGCAGCATTTTATTTTGAACTAAGATGATGATTAAAATTATTTATTTCTATATTACTTGGGAGATCTAGTTTTTTCACCCCGAAAACGCATTTAACTTTGAGGAGTATACCAAATGCATGGAAAAATGAATTGAGCTTTGGAATTAATATTTTTTTTTTCAATACGAAAATATTCAAGAGAATCTGATTATAATAAATTAATTTTTATTTAAACCTCTTTAAATTATCAAAGTGGACAATTTTAATTAGATGTCTATTTTAGAAATTTGGAGAATTATTTTACTTATTACAGACCTCTCAATATTTCAATTGCTTCTTCGCTGTTGAACATTAACAATTAACTTTCTCGCTTCCGCCTCCTTTTCACAGATGTCGCTATTTGCCAGTTAACATTGAAAATACAACCTGATATGTGGGAGTTCGTGTCGGAGATCGGGCGGATGGCACGAGCGAAAAAATCCATTTGATTATCAAAAGATTATAACAATTAAAAATCAAAGTGCTAATACAGAGTCATTTCTCGATTGATCATCTAGACACCAGAGTAAGGATAGTGAACCGAACAGCTCAAAATACCTCGCACTATTAGTGTTTCTGACACAAAAAGAGCCGCCCCCGCCTGCGGGAGGTTAGGTCAAGAAATGTATTACACAAATAAACGAGCTCGAACAGAAGCCCAACAGAATGACGAGGCAAGCGCAGACAATGAGCTGCACAATGTGTGGATAAAGTCGACAGACATAAACAAAAATATCTCAGCAATAGCGGTAAGCTTGTACATAAGTAAAATTGGATACACCAGCATCGTGAGCTGCACCAAAAAAGGCAAAACAGAGGTACTGCTAACCCTAAGCGATGAAGAAGAGGCTAAAAAACTGATGAAAGAGGAGAAGCTGTCAAGCAAGAAACTTGAAACGAACAATCCCACAGCCAAAAGATATATAAAAAAAGGAATTATCCGTGGCGTCGACACCGAGGTGGACAATCAAACCATCATAGATAACCTGGAATGCCCTGATAGATTTAAGCTAGTAGACATCAAGAGGCTCGATATGAGAAATCGTAATCCTACTGCAGAGACCAAATGGATTCCAAGCAAATCAATGCTACTTACCTTCGAGGGACTGCAAATACCAAGGGAAGTATTCATCGCCAAGGTGAAGTTCTTGGTGGAGCCTTATGTACCCAAACCTTTCCAATGCCACAAATGTTTCAAGTACGACCACAAAGCCCTGTTATGCAAGAACAAGGAAATATGTTACAAATGTAGTGCAGACAAGCATGAAGGTGTGTGCCAATCACCTACTTTCAAATGTGTCAATTGCCCAGAGGGCAAAAATAACCATAGGAGTACTGACACACAGTGCGAAGTCTATAAAAAGCATGCAGAAGTAAATGTTTTAGTGGCATATGACAATATTTCCTACCGTGAAGCAAAAATACAAGTTTTTGGATACCCAGTAGCCCCACACAAAACTAAGGACCACTTTCCACTCTTAAGAAAAAAAGCTCTGGATAGGGCCAGGGGACCCAGAAAGAGTTATGCAGCTATTGTGGACGCCTCAAAGGATTTTTTCAGTCCTCAAGCTTCAGAGACAGGCTTTTCAAATAACATAAACAGACCCAATGTAACCATTTCACCAAACAAGAATAAGAAAGACTACAAGATCAGGCCTAAGACCCCACCATCTAATGCTGACAGTACAAACAACTCATTTTCAAACCTACAACACTTCACAACAACAAATAAGCCAGCACTTGAGGACCTCACAAAAGATCCTCGCCTCACAAGACAATTGGAGCTCTCCAAGCCAAA